CTGCATGCTCACAACATCCAATTTTCAGTGTCGGAGCCAATTTAGTTCAGATGAATCTTTTATAGTCCGTTGACTTGCAATGAATATGGGCAGCAATCAATTTGATTCACGATAAATAACAACTTATTTCCCAGACGTTTCAGTATCTTCTGCCGTCGCAAACAAAAAATAGTTAAGACCAAAAAAACGACAAAGTAAGTTTGAAAAAGCACAGAATGCCGTATTGAAATTTATCTCCACTGGTGGAATTATAATGCTGATTGACATCAATCTGCTGATTGACAACACGAATATTTTATATTATCTAAGACTTTACAGATACGCCTGTATCGATCAGATTACAAGGGCTTTCGAGTAGAAATGGTACTGGTCGAGTTGAAGTATTCTATCATGGATATTGGGGGACAATCTGCGATTATACATGGGATATGAGAGATGCCAGGGTTGTATGTCGTCAGCTTGGTTACCAAGATGTTGCTGGAGTTCTTCGAAGAGGCGAGGTTCCATCAGGTTCTGGGCAGGTATGGTTAGCTCGCCTCGCTTGCACTGGAAAAGAACAAAATATTACAAGTTGCTCTCATAGTGGTTGGGGTGTTGATCCTTGCTCTCATCGTGAAGACGCTGGCGCATTTAACAGTTGCAACTCTTCATTCCAATTTTATCTCACATTGTATGATAAATTTCGTTGTTCTTTTCAGATTTATCAGCAGCACCTGTCGGTCTAAGATTACAAGGTCCATTAAGCACGAAAGGTATTGGTCGTGTTGAATTGTCGTATCGTGGATATTGGGGGACAATTTGTGATTCTGGATGGGATATGAGGGATGCTAGGGTTGTATGTCGTCAACTTGGTTATAAAGATGCTGGAAGAATTCTTCAGAGGAGCGAAGTTCCTTCTGGTTCAGGGCAGATATGGTTATTTAACGTCACTTGTACTGGCGAAGAACAAAATATCACAAGCTGTTCTCATCGTGGTTGGGGGATTTCTTATTGTGATCATTCTCTAGACGCTGGTGTAGAATGCAGCACGACAGGTATGAAGTTATAAAATATTTTAACTCCGTGTCGTTTCATTGGTATTGTATCTACTCGGTATCGTATCTGCTCTATACCATATTCATGTTAAACGTAAGGTTTAGAAGAGTGTGCCATGAAATATTCAGACTATTTTTACTGTTCCAACGCAATTATCCCTGCTCTGGTTTAATTAATGAAAGCAATCACCACACAAAGATTACATTAGAGAAATCGAGCAAACACGATGTCACGCCTAAGACGCCGTGAAAATGGTCACTTCGTGTTTACTAAATTTCGCTATACACGAACCACGATTTTACATAATTTCGCCAAATCCAAGGATCGTGTGCAGTAGCGTAGCCAGCCTGACGATTTGGCCCGCTGTGCATGCTAATATTTTTGTGTTCATTGACTGTGAAAACAATGAATTTATAAATTATAACTCGAAATTTTTCGAAGAAAACTCATGCTGTATACTCTATTCCATGTGGTGATTGCGAGAAGGAATATCTAGGTGAAACAAATCGTCAATTCGGCACACGTTTGAAAGAACATCAAAAGGGCTTAGAGATTTCAAAATTAGCCTTGGCGAAACATGTGTGTCAAACAAACCATAACATTGCGTGGAACGATTCTAAAGTCGTTATCACTAAGGATCGTTATGGACAAATGCGTTGTTTGGAAGCCTGGCATATTAATTCGAGTCTTTGTGCCCTAAATAGGGATGAAGGAACCCTTACGAAAATTCCCAATAGGAATTTCTATAGGAAATTATTTCAAATATCCTATAGGATCCTATTGGAAATTGGCCCATGAGCCTATAGGATCCTATAGGAATTCCTATAAGTTCTTATAGGAATTCCTACAAGATCCTATAGGAATTCCTACAAGATCTTATAGAAATTCCTACAAGATCCTATAGAAATTCCTACAAGATCTTATAGAAATTCCTACAAGATCCTATAGGAATTCCTACAAGATCTTATAGAAATTCCTACAAGATCCTATAGGAATTCCTATAAGATCTTATAGGAATTCCTATAAGATCTTATAGGAATTCCTATAAGATCTTAAAGGAAATCCTACAAGATCCTATAGGAATTCCTAAAAGATCGTATATCGATCGATTTCTATAAGATCCTATAAGAATTTCTACAAGTTCCTATTGGAATTCTTACAAGTTCCTAAAGGAATCCTCTAGTTAAGAATATGTTGGAGACTTTAATGAATATGAAAATGTTTTGAGATTTCCAATATAATTTATTAATGTAAATCTACATATAAATCTACAGGCACTATAAAATATATTAATAATTTACAGACAAACTAATCACACAACAATCTGCTAATATATACAAATACAATGAGGGAAAACAGTTACTCATTTTTTGTTTTTTGGCACTTCTCTGTATTGTTCAGCTTCGCTTTTATGTAACTTTTCACAGGCTTGTCATCTGGCAGGCGAAATCTCTTTACAACCAGGTCTAAAACACAAGGAAGCAATTCAGTTCAAAGCTGATCATATGGTAACACATTTAAATTTAAGTTAAATCTGATGCAGGTCCACAATTTTGTTGGCAAAAAATGTTTAAAACTCAGCAATTGGACATACTTTAATTTATTGTTTTGGCCTGATATTGTGTATTTAAATGGAATGAATTGAGAGAAATTAGGACTAAAGCTACTAACCACACAATGCAGCAACTTTTGCAGGGTCTATTTGCCATTTTACATCTGTTTGATAGATGACGTCATGTTGAGAGCATGTAAGGATCTGAGTTTCAAAATCAGATCACCCCTGATGAAGACAATATAGACCGGAGTGTCGAAACGTTGGGTTGTGAATGCAATCTTTGTGTAGTGATTACTCTCATTAATTAAACCAGGTTGCGATGAACTTATTAAATTCAATTCGTTCTTTTAATGCTTTTTTCGTCGGAAGGCTTTCATTTTCGAAATTATTGGTAGAAATTGTAAAACAGATTTATTCTTATCAGCCGCATTAAAAATTCATATTCACCCAAACTTTAGTCGAATAATACAGTACCCAGATAATGTAGTTTGCTAAGAAGTAGATTCTCTAAGGTAATAATTACTGCCGCAAGTCAAGTGCTGCCTCGAAGCCAGAAATAAGCGTTTAGAAAGTTGGGGAAAAATTGCGATCCACTCACGCATGGGTACAGTAATATAATGTTGAAATTTTGAAGTGGCTATAGTTATGGTATGTTTTGATGTTAATGAATTATAAACGACGGTATGAACAACAATATGAACAACAAAAAGAGTTTGTGGAATGTTTTTAATCCAATGACCCGAGTAATTACCTCTTTGCCCTCAAGGCCCAGGTGAATATATACTCTCATAATAGGGGAAAGCACGATATTTCAATGTTTCCTCTACTTGACTTAAACCTTGTAATTAATGCGGGAGAGGTGAAGGAGTCATTGAATTTTCACATGAGAACTTTTTAGGAGATTTTTATCTTTACAACACTGTGAACATACATAAATATTAGGTGATTTAGGTTTAGTTTTTAATGGCCATGCCTCTTGACAAATTAACTGCATAAAGTAAGGAAATATATAATAAATTTATGAAATCTATAAATATTGGATTTAAGTTTGTTCATGAATGTAATGCTACCATTTGTTATGTAAAAATTTTTTAATCAAGTAATCATCCTTGCTAGTTATGTCTCAACATTTTCGTTTCTTATTTTTATATTCACATCTAATATGATTTTTAACGGAAGTACTACTTTGTTTTCTTTTCATGTAGTTTTTAGTATTTTCCAGTCTAAATTGCTTTTCACTTCCAGTCTCTGTTGTCATTTGGTTCTCTTGATACGTTGAAGCCCTTTCTTTAGAATGTTTTTGCCCGACACATGCCCTGGATTTTTTAAGCCTATATAAAAAATTATAGGTTTGGGGATTTGATTGCATTGAACACTGATTTCTCTTAATTGGTCAGGGAGAATTTCAAATAAATAAGTATATTACTTGACAAATGTGTAAATACTGTTCTAAATCATTCCTGCTACTAAATTGAAAAACAACAGAAGTATCGTTAGACTCAGATATACCACAAGAATTTCTGGCATGGGGATAAAAAAAATAGAAAAAGGGATTCAGTTATATCATGCATTAAGGCCATCATATACCCAACTAATATCAAAATAGCATCATTACTTTGTGTAAAAGTATTCATCGAAGCTGAAGGAAAGTTTTGTAATATTAGTGAGCATGCACAATTTAACGAGTAGCCTTATTAACCGAGCGACTCAGTTGTCTGCACTCGTTTAAACTCTACAACCACCACTACAACGGCAACAACCACTACAACGACAGCAACCACTACAACGACAACAACCACTTCAACGACAACAACCACTTCAACGACAACAACCACTACAACGACAACAACCACTACAACGTCAACAACCACTACAACGACAACAACCACTTCAACGACAACAACCACTACAACGACAGCAACCACTACAACGACAACAACCACTTCAACGACAACAACCACTACAACGTCAACAACCACTACAACGACAACAACCACTTCAACGACAACAACCACTTCAACGGCAACAACCACTTCAACGACAACAACCACTCAACGACAACAACACTACACACGACAACAACCACTACAACGACAACAACCACTTCAACGACAACAACCACTTCAACGGCAACAACCACTTCAACGGCAACAACCACTTCAACGACAACAACCACTACAACGACAACAACCACTACAACGACAACAACCACTTCAACGACAACAACCACTACAACGACAAACAACCACTACAACGACAACAACCACTTCAACGACAACAACCACTACAACGTCAACAACCACTACAACGACAACAACAACTACAATGACAACAAACGCTACAACCAGAAAAGCCAAAACTACAACTACAGCAGCTACATTTGTTTTACACACTCCGTTATTTCTTTAAGAATTTACAGCTACGCCTGTGAGACTAAGATTGCAAGGCCCATTAAGTGCAAATGGTACTGGTCACGTTGAAGTACTCCATCATGGATATTGGGGTGCAATATGTGCTCGTGGATGGGACAGAGAAAATGCTAGGGTTGTATGTCGTCAACTTGGTTATGATCCAGACGGTGCAAAGACTTTTCAGTGGAACCTAGTCGCTCCTGCCCCTGGACCGTTATGGTTAAAGAATGTCCGTTGTATTGGAAATGAACAGAATATTACAAGTTGTTCTTATGATGGTTGGGGGTTTACATCTTGCTCCTCCGATGGAGTGGCAGGTGTACATTGCTACACGATAGGTAAGTTATAAAATATACCAACGTTCCTGGATAGTTCCTGGATAGATAATATCGCACGATAAAGGTATAATCTCAACTAAATTTAAGAAATAACACCGAACTCGTCGGTCTACAGTGCGTTAATTATTATTCATATATGCAAGGAAATGATAAATTTAATACATTTAACGGAGTTCTCATACCTGCGCTACATATAGAAATTTTCATCATAAAAAGGAATGAGTTAGGAGCTGTTCGCATGAGCCCAAGTACTCGAGTTATAGCGAACGTGAGATGATTTTGAAGTACTAAAATGTCCTTTTGAAACCAAACAAGCACACGCTGTTTTGAGTACGACTACACGATTACCAGGATCATTGCTTCGAAACTCCACGCCATATATTATTTATATCAAGGGCTTTAGGTTGCTGGATGTACAAAAACAAGCACTAATCTCATAGATTCGACCAACTTTCTAAGAATGTACCCGCTATACTTGTAAGACAGGGGTTGCAACTTGGCCATTCAGTTTAAACGTATTCAAGTCCAGAGAAAAAAAATCGAAAATTCTTACCTAGAATAATGTTCTTGAAAAAGTCTTATTTTAAGCAAAATTTTGCTCAAAATAAGTAAAGATCTTGCTGTGTAGTTTGTATTGCTTGTTATTTAATTTACAATTATCGGATTGATCTCATGCTCTCACTCAACTATTCTTTTTAGACTTCACAGGTGTAGCTGTCAGACTCAGATTACAGGGACCATTAGGTACGAATGGCGCTGGTCGTGTTGAAGTATTATATCATGGATATTGGGGGACAATCTGTGATCGTAGATGGGATATAAATGATGCCCGGGTTGTTTGTCGTCAACTTGGTTATCGATATGTCGTTCGAACTCTTCAGAGAAACGATGTTCCTTCTGGTTCAGGCCTAATTTGGTTATCCGACCTCTATTGCACGGGAAATGAGCAAAATATATCAAGTTGTTCCCACGATGGTTGGGGGAGTCATCGTTGTTCACATAATGAAGACGCGGGAGTTCATTGCACAAATACAGGTAAAAATTTAGGGATTAAACCGATTGTCGTGAATACCAACGTTGCTGGATAGTCCAATCATAACGCACGATACTGGCTCAATTTCAAGTTTGAGAAACAACTTCTAATTCGTCGGTCTACAGTGCGTTAATCATCATTCATATGAGCAAAGAAATGATAAATTTAGCACATTTATTGGAGTTCTCATACCTGGTCTACATGGATTTTTCATCATAAAAAAACTAAAAAGATGTGAGTTAGGGATGTTCGCTTGAGCCCAATTACCCGAGATTCAACGAAGCGTGAGATGATTTTGGGGCACTAAAAAGTCTTTTTGAAACCAAACAAGCACACGCTATTGTTAGGATTACTACACGATTACTAGGATTAGGATTAACACGATTATTCACTCATTTCAATGCGTTCAAGTCATTTTACGTGAACAGCCCCTTTAGTGTTGTTTCAAACGATTAGACATTATTTCGAAACTCTACGCCATATATTGGTGTGAAGCGCTTTAATTTGCTGGATGTACGATAAAGAAAGGACAAGCAGTAATCTCATGCACAGAGTCCGCTAAGAGTTTACAACATGGCCATTCGGTTTCAATGGAAAAACAAAAACTTACTCAAGTAGTTTTGTATTGCTTGTAGTTTGATTTACAATTTTCAGAATGATCTCACACACTCCACTATTCTACTTAGACTTCACTGGTGTACCTGTCAAACTCAGATTACAAGGACCATTAAGTGCCAGTGGCACTGGTCGTGTTGAAGTATTATATCATGGATATTGGGGAACAATCTGTGATGATAGATGGGATATGAGAGATGCTAGGGTTGTTTGTCGTCAACTTGGTTATCCAGGTGCTGTCAGGGCACTCTATAGTGGACGGGTTCCTTCCGGTTCTGGACAGATATGGTTAGATGATGTTGATTGTACTGGGAAAGAGGAAAACATAACAAGTTGTTCTCATGGTGGTTGGGGGATTCATAATTGCGTACATGACGAAGATGCTGGAGTTGAATGTACTACAATAGGTAAAATATACATTTCTTGGCACTCCTCGACTAAGTTTTGGGGCGAGATTTCGCTGGTAGATATTTCCATATTTATGGCCGTGAAAACGGAAACATGGTTTGGTAAAAAAAGAGGCTTGTTAAAGAACAAAAATTCCTTAAGCAACACGTTTGCACACTTGTTATTATGATTATTTCTCGTTCTCCCAAAATCCCACGGGTCTTTCTATAGCTGTATAGAAACGCGGAAAATATTTTCTATTTTAGTGTACTAGGGTAGTGTACGTTAAGCCTCCTGTTCTATAGGGACAAAAACATTTTCAAATATTTACGTTTTAAAATATCTGAAATTTATCACATTTATTACTTTTCTTACAGCTTATACTTATTTAGAAATATAACCATATAAAGAACCAAAATAGTAGTACATTCGGACTGTAGTTGATATTTTTAGAACTATCGTGATTCAAAATTATTTAAATCTAAAAAAGGCGTTAGCTTACATTTGCTTAGCGATTGCATCCTACCTTTGGAGTAACAGTTTTTGACCATTAAATACCCTCATATGACCATTATAAGATATTCCTTTACGATTTTGCAGTTGTATTACAAGGGCCGTTAAGTTCAACGGGCACAGGTCGCGTTGAAGTATTCTACAATGGACGTTGGGGAACTATTTGCGAAGAGGGATGGGATTTGAAAGATGCTCGTGTTGTTTGTCGTCAGCTTGGATATAAAGATGCTGCAAGGGTACTTCACGATGGCCAGGTGCCTTCAGGTTCTGGCCCAATATGGTTGTCTGACGTAGATTGCAAAGGTGAAGAAAAAAGTATAGCAACTTGCTCTCACAAAGGTTGGGGCTCTAATCATTGCTCTCGTCGCAGGGACGTCGGGGTGGAATGTACAACAAAAGGTAAACAGCTGAATACAGATCGATATTGCATTTGGTTAAAAGTTACGAAAATTTCAAGTGAAAGAAAATAAGGACCAGAGTTATAGTTGAACTCTTGATGTTTGAAATATGTTTCCAATACAATTTTTGCGGCAGGAATAGAAAGAATGAAAGGACCTAGCATTACAAGAAATTAATGACAATATAGCTTTCACGCGTGGATATTACATAAAATATAAAACGCAAAAGCGTCAACATATTGACCTCTAGTTCAAGCTTCTTTTCAAAAAACTTTTTGACAACTGAATCTTCGAATCTGTCGAATTTAAAAAAAAGATTTTTTCAAGATGGAATCTTTCGCATTCGTTAAAGTGCGTATATCACTTGTGGAATCTTTATGCATTTGAAAAGAATGTAAAAAGTTAGTTAACGTATTAAAAATTTTTTTTGATTAAGTGCAACAATTTTGAAGGTACTAGCCTTTAAACTACCTGCTGTTCCTGTGTCCCAGGCTCCTGCAAACAATAGGCAGTTTCAAATTGAATAGCCGTGTTTAAACCCAGGAGGTTGGGACTCAGGAACCGCAGGTAGTTTAGAGGCTTGTATCTTCGAAATTATTGCACTAAATCAAAAAACGTTTTTTAATATATTAACTAACTTTTTACGTTTTTTTTCAAATGCATAAAGATCCCACGAGTGATATAGGCACTTTAAGGTCTGCATGCCCACACGATCCAATTTTCATTGTCGAAGCCAATTTACTTCAGAGTTCAGATGAATCTTTTATAGTCCGTTGACTTGCAATGTAAATGGGCGGCAATCAATTTGATTCACCATAAATAATAATTTATTTCCCGGGCGTTTTAGTATCTTCTGCCGTCGCAAACAAAAATAGTTAAGACCAAAAAACGACGAAGTAAGTTTGAAAAAGCACCGAATCCCGTATTGAAACTTATATCCCCTGTTGGAATTATAATTCATCACTCTGCTGATTGACAACACGAATATTTTATATTATCTAAGACTTTACAGATACGCCTGTATCGATCAGATTACAAGGGCCTTCGAGTAGAAATGGTACTGGTCGAGTTGAAGTATTCTATCATGGATATTGGGGAACAATCTGTGATTATACATGGGATATGAGAGATGCCAGGGTTGTATGTCGTCAGCTTGGTTACCAAGATGTTGCTGGAGTTCTTCGAAGAGGCGAGGTTCCATCAGGTTCTGGGCAGGTATGGTTAGCTCGCCTCGCTTGCACTGGAAAAGAACAAAATATTACAAGTTGCTCTCATAGTGGTTGGGGTGTTGATCCTTGCTCTCATCGTGAAGACGCTGGCGTAATATGTAGTACAACAGGTATATATAAGATTACAGAATAATTACATTAAATAATTGGATACATTTAAGAGTTGCAACTCTTCATTCTAATTTTAGCTTACATTGTCTGATAAATTTCGTTGTTCTTTTCAGATTTATCAGCTACACCTGTCGGTCTAAGATTACAAGGTCCATTAAGCACGAAAGGTATTGGTCGTGTTGAATTGTCGTATCGTGGATATTGGGGGACAATTTGTGATTCTGGATGGGATATGAGGGATGCTAGGGTTGTATGTCGTCAACTTGGTTATAAAGATGCTGCAAGAATTCTTCAGAGGAGCGAAGTTCCTTCTGGTTCAGGGCAGATATGGTTATTTAACGTCACTTGTACTGGCGAAGAACAAAATATCTCAAGCTGTTCTCATCGTGGTTGGGGGATTTCTTATTGTGATCATTCTCTAGACGCTGGTGTAGAATGCAGCACGACAGGTATGAAGTTATAAAATATTTCAACTCCGTGTCCTTTCATGGGTATCGTATCTGCTCGGTATCGAGTCTGCTCTATACCATATATTATTCATGTTAAACGTAAGGTTTAGAAGAGTTTGCCATGAAGTATTCAGACTATTTTTACTGTTCCAACGCAATTATCCCTGCTCTGGTTTAATTAATGAAAGCAATCACCACACAAAGATTACATTAGAGAAATCGAGCAAACACGATGTCACGCCTAAGACGCCGTGAAAATGGTCACTTCGTGTTTACTAAATTTCGCTTTACACGAACCACGATTTTACATAGTTTCACCAAACCCAAGGATCGCGTGCAGTAGCGTAGCCAGCCTTACGATTTGTCCCGCTATGCATGCTAATATTTTTGTGTTCATTGACTGTGAAAACAATGAATTTATAAATTATAACTCGAAATTTATCGCAGAAAACTCATGCTGTATACTCTATTCCATGTGGTGATTGCGAGAAGGAATATCTAGGTGAAACAAAACGTCAGTTCGGCACACGTTTGAAAGAACATCAAAAGGCCTTAGAAATTTCAAAATTAGCCTTGGCGAAACATGTGTGTCAAACAAACCATAACATTGCGTGGACGATTCTAAAGTCGTTATCACTAAGGATCGTTATGGACAAATGCGTTGTTTGGAAGCCAGGCATATTAATTCGAGTCTTTGTGCCCAAAATAGGGATGAAGGAAACTATTTGCCATTTTACATCTGATTGATAGATGACGTCATGTTGAGAGCATATAAGGATCTGACATCTAGACTAAGGTTTCAACATCAGATCACCCCTGATGAAGACACTAGACCTGAGTGTCGAAACACTGGGTTGTGAATGTAATCTCTGTGTAGTGATTACTTTCATTAATTAAACCAGGTTGCGATGAACTTATTAAGTTCAATTCGTTATTTTTAATGCTGTTTTCGTGGGAAGTCTTTCATTTTCGAAATTATTGGTAGAAATTGTAAAACAGATTTATTCTTATCAGCCGCATTAAGAATTCATATTCACCCAAACTTTAGTCGAAAAATACAGTACCCAGATAATGTAGTTTGCAGAGAAGTAGATTCTATAAAGTAATAATTACTACCGCAAGTGAAGTGCTGCCTCAAAGCCAGAAATAAACGTTTAGAAAGTTGGGGAAAATTGCGATCCACTCACGCATGGGTACAGTAATACAATGTTAAAATTTTGAAGTGGCTATAGTTATGGCATGTTTTGAGGTTAATGAAATAAAACACAGAATGATCGACGAACGACAATATGAACAACAATATGAACAACAAAAAGAGTTTGTGGAATGTTTTTAATCCAATGACCCAAGTAACCTCTTTGCCCTCAAGGCCCAGGTGAATATATACTCTCATAATAGGGAGAGCACGAGCACTCAATACTTCCTCGACTTAAACCTTGTAATTCATGCGGGAGAGGTGAAGGAGTCATTGAATTTTCACATGAGAACTTTTTACGAGACTTTTTATCTTTACAACACTGTGAACATACATAAATATTAGGTGATTTAGGTTTAGTTTTTAAGGGTCATGCCTCTTGACAAATTGTGCATCAAGTAATGAAATATATAATAGATTTATAAAATCTATAAAATTAATATTGGATTTAAGTTTGTTCATGAATATAATGCTACCATTTGTTATGTAAAAATTTTTTAATCAAGTAATCATCCTTGCTAGTTATGTCTCAACATTTTCGTTTCTTATTTTTATATTCACATCTAATATGATTTTTAACGGAAGTACTACTTTGTTTTCTTTTCATGTAGTTTTTAGTATTTTCCAGTCTAAATTGCTTTTCACTTCCAGTCTCTGTTGTCATTTGGTTCTCTTGATACGTTGAAGCCCTTTCTTTAGAATGTTTTTGCCCGACACATGCCCTGGATTTTTTAAGCCTATATAAAAAATTATAGGTTTGGGGATTTGATTGCATTGAACACTGATTTCTCTTAATTGGTCAGGGAGAATTTCAAATAAATAAGTATATTACTTGACAAAGTGTGTAAATACTGTTCTAAATCATTCCTGCTACTAAATTGAAAAACAACAGAAGTATCGTTAGACTCAGATATACCACAAGAATTTCTGGCATGGGGATAAAAAAAATAGAAAAAGGGATTCAGTTATATCATGCATTAAGGCCATCATATACCCAACTAATATCAAAATAGCATCATTACTTTGTGTAAAAGTATTCATCGAAGCTGAAGGAAAGTTTTGTAATATTAGTGAGCATGCACAATTTAACGAGTAGCCTTATTAACCGAGCGACTCAGTTGTCTGCACTCGTTTAAACTCTACAACCACCACTACAACGGCAACAACCACTACAACGACAGCAACCACTACAACGACAACAACCACTTCAACGACAACAACCACTTCAACGACAACAACCACTACAACGACAACAACCACTACAACGTCAACAACCACTACAACGACAACAACCACTTCAACGACAACAACCACTACAACGACAGCAACCACTACAACGACAACAACCACTTCAACGACAACAACCACTACAACGTCAACAACCACTACAACGACAACAACCACTTCAACGACAACAACCACTCCAACGGCAACAACCACTTCAACGACAACAACCACTTCAACGACAACAACCACTACAACGACAACAACCACTACAACGACAACAACCACTTCAACGACAACAACCACTTCAACGGCAACAACCACTTCAACGGCAACAACCACTTCAACGACAACAACCACTACAACGACAACAACCACTACAACGACAACAACCACTTCAACGACAACAACCACTACAACGACAAACAACCACTACAACGACAACAACCACTTCAACGACAACAACCACTACAACGTCAACAACCACTACAACGACAACAACAACTACAATGACAACAAACGCTACAACCAGAAAAGCCAAAACTACAACTACAGCAGCTACATTTGTTTTACACACTCCGTTATTTCTTTAAGAATTTACAGCTACGCCTGTGAGACTAAGATTGCAAGGCCCATTAAGTGCAAATGGTACTGGTCACGTTGAAGTACTCCATCATGGATATTGGGGTGCAATATGTGCTCGTGGATGGGACAGAGAAAATGCTAGGGTTGTATGTCGTCAACTTGGTTATGATCCAGACGGTGCAAAGACTTTTCAGTGGAACCTAGTCGCTCCTGCCCCTGGACCGTTATGGTTAAAGAATGTCCGTTGTATTGGAAATGAACAGAATATTACAAGTTGTTCTTATGATGGTTGGGGGTTTACATCTTGCTCCTCCGATGGAGTGGCAGGTGTACATTGCTACACGATAGGTAAGTTATAAAATATACCAACGTTCCTGGATAGTTCCTGGATAGATAATATCGCACGATAAAGGTATAATCTCAACTAAATTTAAGAAATAACACCGAACTCGTCGGTCTACAGTGCGTTAATTATTATTCATATATGCAAGGAAATGATAAATTTAATACATTTAACGGAGTTCTCATACCTGCGCTACATATAGAAATTTTCATCATAAAAGGAATGAGTTAGGAGCTGTTCGCATGAGCCCAAGTACTCGAGTTATAGCGAACGTGAGATGATTTTGAAGTACTAAAATGTCCTTTTGAAACCAAACAAGCACACGCTGTTTTGAGTACGACTACACGATTACCAGGATCATTGCTTCGAAACTCCACGCCATATATTATTTATATCAAGGGCTTTAGGTTGCTGGATGTACAAAAACAAGCACTAATCTCATAGATTCGACCAACTTTCTAAGAATGTACCCGCTATACTTGTAAGACAGGGGTTGCAACTTGGCCATTCAGTTTAAACGTATTCAAGTCCAGAGAAAAAAAATCGAAAATTCTTACCTAGAATAATGTTCTTGAAAAAGTCTTATTTTAAGCAAAATTTTGCTCAAAATAAGTAAAGATCTTGCTGTGTAGTTTGTATTGCTTGTTATTTAATTTACAATTATCGGATTGATCTCATGCTCTCACTCAACTATTCTTTTTAGACTTCACAGGTGTAGCTGTCAGACTCAGATTACAGGGACCATTAGGTACGAATGGCGCTGGTCGTGTTGAAGTATTATATCATGGATATTGGGGGACAATCTGTGATCGTAGATGGGATATAAATGATGCCCGGGTTGTTTGTCGTCAACTTGGTTATCGATATGTCGTTCGAACTCTTCAGAGAAACGATGTTCCTTCTGGTTCAGGCCTAATTTGGTTATCCGACCTCTATTGCACGGGAAATGAGCAAAATATATCAAGTTGTTCCCACGATGGTTGGGGGAGTCATCGTTGTTCACATAATGAAGACGCGGGAGTTCATTGCACAAATACAGGTAAAAATTTAGGGATTAAACCGATTGTCGTGAATACCAACGTTGCTGGATAGTCCAATCATAACGCACGATACTGGCTCAATTTCAAGTTTGAGAAACAACTTCTAATTCGTCGGTCTACAGTGCGTTAATCATCATTCATATGAGCAAAGAAATGATAAATTTAGCACATTTATTGGAGTTCTCATACCTGGTCTACATGGATTTTTCATCATAAAAAAACTAAAAAGGTGTGAGTTAGGGATGTTCGCTTGAGCCCAATTACCCGAGATTCAACGAAGCGTGAGATGATTATGGGGCACTAAAAAGTCTTTTTGAAACCAAACAAGCACACGCTGTTGTTAGGATTACTACACGATTACAGGGATCAGGTTATTCACTCATTTCAATGCGTTCAAGTCATTTTACGTGAACAGCCCCTTTAGTGTTGTTTCAAACGATTAGACATTATTTCGAAACTCTACGCCATATATTATTGGTGTGAAGCGCTTTAATTTGCTGGATGCACGATAAAGAAAAGACAAGCAGTAATCTCATGCATAGAGTGGCCATTCGGTTTCAATGGAAAAAAACAACTTGCTCAAGTAGTTTTGTATTGCTTATAATTTTATTTACAATTTTCGGATTGCCGATCTCACACATTCCACTAATCTTCTTAGACTTCACTGGTGTACCTGTCAAACTCAGATTACAAGGACCATTAAGTGCCAATGGCTCTGGTCGGGTTGAAGTATTATATCATGGATTTTGGGGAACAATCTGTGATCATGGATGGGATATGAGAGATGCTAGAGTTGTTTGTCGTCAACTTGGTTATCCAGGTGCTGTCAGGGCACTCCATAGTCAACAGGTTCCTTCCGGTTCTGGTCAGATATGGTTAAATGAAGTTTCTTGTACTGGGAAAGAGGAAAACATAACAAGTTGTCCTCATTATGGTTGGGGGGTTCATAATTGCGTACATGACGAAGATGCTGGAGTTGAATGTTCTACAATAGGTAAAATATACATTTCCTGGCACTTCTCGACTAAGATTTTGGGGCGAAATTTCGCTGGTAGATATTTCCATATTTATAGCCGTGAAAACGGAAACATGGCTTGTTAAAAAAGGCTTGTTAAAGAACAAAAATTCCTTAAGCAACACGTTTACACACTCGTTATTATGATTACAGTATTTCTTGTTCTCCCAAGATCCCACGGGTCATTCTATAGCTGTATAAAGACACGGAAAATGTTTTCTATTTTAGTGTAGAAGCGCGTTGTTCTATAGGGACAAAAACATTTTAAAATATTTACGTTTTAAAATATCTGAAATTTATCATATTCATTACTTTTCTTACAGCTTATGCTTATTTAGATTTATAACCATATAACGAACCAAAATAGCAGCACATTCGGACTGTTGTTGATATTTTTAGAAATATCGTGACTGAAATTAATTAAATATAAACAAGGCGTTAGTTTACATTTGCTTAGCGATTGCATCCTACCTCTGGAATAACAGTTTTTGACCATCAAATACCCTCATATGACCATTATAAGATATTCCTTTACGATTTTGCAGTTGTTACAAGGGCCGTTAAGTTCAAAGGGCACAGGACGTGTTGATGTATTCTACAATGGACATTGGGGAACTATTTGCGAAGAGGGATGGGATTTGAGAGATGCTCGGGTTGTTTGTCGTCAGCTTGGTTATAAAGATGCTGCAAGGGTACTTCTTGCTGGTCAGGTACCTTCTGGTTCTGGGCAAATATGGTTGTCTGACGTAGATTGCAAAGGTGAAGAAAAAAGTATAGCAACTTGCTCTCACAATGGTTGGGGCTCTCATCGTTGCTCTCATCGCAGTGACGTCGGGGTGGAATGTACAACAAAAGGTAAGCAGCTGAATACAGATCGATATTCCATTTGGCTAAAAAGTTACGAAAAATTTCAGGTGAAAGAAAATAACGATTGGAGTTATAGTTGAATTCTTGATGTTTGAAATATGTTTTCAATACAATTTTTGCGGCAGGAATAGAATGACTGAAAGGACCTAGCATTACAAGAAATTGATGACAATATAGCTTTCACGCGTGTATATTACATAAAATATAAAACGTAAAAGCGTCAACATATTGACCTCTAATTCCAGCTTCTTTTTAAAAAACGTTTTGGCAACTGAATTTTCGAATCTGTCGAATTTAAAATAAAAAATTTTAAGATGTATTCTTTCGCATTGTTAAGGTCTTCATGCCACACGATCCAATTTTCGGTGCCGGCGCCTATTTACTTCAGAGTTCAGATGAATCTTTTATAGTCCGTTGACTTGCAATGGATATGGGCAGCAATCAATTTGATTCACCATAAAGTAACAACTTATTTCGCTGGCGTTTCAAGATCTTCTGGCGTCGCAAACAAAAAATAGTTAAGACCAAAAAAACGGCAAAGTAAGTTTGAAAAAGCACCGATTGCCGTATTGAAATTTATCTCCACTGTTGGAGTTATAATGCCTCACTCTCTGATTGACAACACGAATATTTTATATTATCTAAGGACTTTACAGAACGCCTGTATCGATCAGATTACAAGGGCCTTCGAGTAGAAACGGTACTGGTCGTGTTGAAGTATTCTATCATGGATATTGGGGGACAATCTGCGATTATACATGGGATATGAGAGATGCCGGGTTGTATGTCGTCAGCTTGGTTACCAAGATGTTGCTGGAATTCTTCGAAGAGACGAGGTTACATCAGGTTCTGGGCAGGTATGGTTAGCTCGCCTCGCTTGCACTGGAAAGAACAAAATATCACAAGTTGCTCTCACAGTGGTTGGGGTGTTGATCCTTGCTCTCATCGTGAAGACGCTGGCGTAATATGTAGTACAACAGGTATATAAGATTACAGAATAATTACATTCAATAATTGGATACATTTAAGAGTTGCAACTCTTCATTCCAATTTTATCTTACATTGTATGATAAATTTCGTTGTTCTTTTCAGATTTATCAGCTACACCTGTCGGTCTAAGATTACAAGGTCCATTAAGCACGAAAGGTATTGGTCGTGTTGAATTGTCGTATCATGGATATTGGGGGACAATTTGTGATTCTGGATGGGATATGAGAGATGCTAGGGTTGTATGTCGTCAACTTGGTTATAAAGATGCTGCAAGAATTCTTCAGAGGAGCGAAGTTCCTTCTGGTTCAGGGCAGATATGGTTATTTAACGTCACTTGTACTGGCGAAGAACAAAATCACAAGCTGTTTTCATCGTGGTTGGGGGATTTCTTATTGTGATCATTCTCTAGACGCTGGTGTAGAATGCAGCACGACAGGTATGAAGTTATAAAATATTTCAACTCCGTGTCCTTTCATGGGTATCGTATCTGCTCGGTATCGAGTCTGCTCTATACCATATATTATTCATGTTAAACGTAAGGTTTAGAAGAGTTTGCCATGAAGTATTCAGACTATTTTTACTGTTCCAACGCAATTATCCCTGCTCTGGTTTAATTAATGAAAGCAATCACCACACAAAGATTACATTAGAGAAATCGAGCAAACACGATGTCACGCCTAAGACGCCGTGAAAATGGTCACTTCGTGTTTACTAAATTTCGCTTTACACGAACCACGATTTTACATAGTTTCACCAAACCCAAGGATCGCGTGCAGTAGCTTAGCCAGCCTTACGATTTGTCCCGCTATGCATGCTAATATTTTGTGTTCATTGACTGTGAAAACAATGAATTTATAAATTATAACTCGAAATTTATCGCAGAAAACTCATGCTGTATACTCTATTCCATGTGGTGATTGCGAGAAGGAATATCTAGGTGAAACAAAACGTCAGTTCGGCACACGTTTGAAAGAACATCAAAAGGCCTTAGAAATTTCAAAATTAGCCTTGGTGAAACATGTGTGTCAAACAAACCATAACATTGCGTGGACGATTCTAAAGTCGTTATCACTAAGGATCGTTATGGACAAATGCGTTGTTTGGAAGCCAGGCATATTAATTCGAGTCTTTGTGCCCAAAATAGGGATGAAGGAAACTATTTGCCATTTTACATCTGATTGATAGATGACGTCATGTTGAGAGCATATAAGGATCTGACATCTAGACTAAGGTTTCAACATCAGATCACCCCTGATGAAGACACTAGACCTGAGTGTCGAAACATTGGGATGTGAATTTAATCTTTGTGTGGTGATTACTTTCATTAATTAAACCACGTTGCGATGAACTTATTAACTTCAATTCGTTATTTTTAGTGCTTTTTTCGTCGGAAGGCTTTTATTTTCGAAATTATTGGTAGAAATTGTAAAACAGATTTAATCTTATCAGCCGCATGAAAATTCATATTCACCCAAAATTTAGTCGAAAACTACAGTACCCAGATAATGTAGTTTGCAGAGAAGTAGATTCTCTATAGGTAATAATTACTACCTCAAGTCAAGTGCCGCCTTGAAGCCAGAAATAAGCGTTTAGAAAGTTGGGGAAAAATTGCGATTCACTCACGCATGGGTACAGTAATATAATGTTGAAATTTTTAAGTGGCTATAGTTATGGTATGTTTTGATGTTAATGAATTATAAACGACGGTATGAACAACAATATGAACAACAAAAAGAGTTTGTGGAATGTTTTTAATCCAATGACCCGAGTAATTACCTCTTTGCCCTCAAGGCCCAGGTGAATATATACTCTCATAATAGGGGAAAGCACGATATTTCAATGTTTCTTCTACTTGACTTAAACCTTGTAATTCATGCGGGAGAGGTGAAGGAGTCATTGAATTTTCACATGAGAACTTTTTAGGAGATTTTTATTTTACAACACTGTGAACATACATAAATATTAGGTGATTTAGGTTTAGTTTTTAATGGCCATGCCTCTTGACAAATTAACTGCATAAAGTAAGGAAATATATAATAGATTTATAAAATCTATAAAATTAATATTGGATTTAAGTTTGTTCATGAATATAATGCTACCATTTGTTATGTAAAAATCTTTTAATCAAGTAATCATCCTTGCTAGTTATGTCTCAACATTTTCGTTTCTTATTTTTATATTCACATCTAATATGATTTTTAACAGAAGTACTACCTTGTTTTCTTTTCATGTAGTTTTTATTTTTTTCCACTTTAAATTGCTTTTCACATCCAGTCTCTGTCATTATTTGGTTCACTTGACTTGATACTTTGAAGCCTTTTCTTTAGAATGTTTTTGCCCGACACATGCCCTGGATTTTTTAACTCTATATAAGAAATTATAGGTTTGCATTCAACCCTGATTTCTTTAAATTGGATAGGGAGAATTTCAAATAAATAAGTATATTACTTGACAAAGTGTGTAAATACTGTTCTAAATCATTCCTGCTATTAAATTGAAAAACAACAGAAGTATCATTAGACTCAGATATACCACAAGAATTTTTTGCATGAGGATAAAAAAAAATAGAAAAAGGGATTAAGTTATATCATGCATTAAGGCCATCATATACCCATCTAATATCAAAATAGCATCATTACTTTGTGTAAAAGTATTCATCAAAGCTGAAGCAAAGTTCTGTATTATTAATGAGTGGCCTCATTAACCGAGCGACTCAGTTGTCTGCACTCGCTCTACAACAACCCTTACAACGACACCAACCACTACAATGACAACAAACGCTACAACCAGAAAAGCCAAAACTACAACTACAGCAGCTACATTTGTTTTACACACTCCGTTATTTCTTTAAGAATTTACAGCTACGCCTGTGAGACTAAGATTACAAGGCCCATTAAGTGCAAATGGTACCGGTCGAGTTGAAGTACTCCATCATGGATATTGGGGTGCAATATGTGCTCGTGGATGGAACAGAGAAAATGCAAGGGTTGTATGTCGTCAACTTGGTTATGATCCAGACGATGCAAAGACTTTTCAGTGAACCTAGTCCTCCTGCCTCTGGACCGTTATGGTTAAAAAATGTCCGTTGTATTGGAGATGAACAGAATATTACAAGTTGTTCTTATGATGGTTGGGGGTTTACTTCTTGCTTATCTGATGGAGTGGCAGGTGTACATTGCTACACGATAGGTAAGTTATAAAATATACCAACGTTCCTGGATAGTCCAATCATATCGCACGATAAAGGTATAATCTCAATTAAATTTGAAAAATAACACCGAATTCGTCGGTCTACAGTGCGTTAATTATTATTCATATAAGCAAGGAAGTGATAAATTTAATACATTTAACGGAGTTCTTATACCTGCACTACATTGAATGAGTTAGGAGCTGTTCGCATGAGCCCAAGTACTCGAGATATAGCGAACGTGAAATGATTTTGAAGTACTAAAATGCCCTTTTGAAACCAAACAAACACACGCTGTTTCTAGTATGACTACACGATTACCAGGATCATTGCTTCGAAACTCCACGCCATATATTATTTATATCAAGGGCTTTAGGTTGCTGGATGTACAAAAACAAGCACTAATCTCATAGATTCGACCAACTTTCTAAGAATGTACCCGCTATACTTGTAAGACAGGGGTTGCAACTTGGCCATTCAGTTTAAACGTATTCAAGTCCAGAGAAAAAAAATCGAAAATTCTTACCTAGAATAATGTTCTTGAAAAAGTCTTATTTTAAGCAAAATTTTGCTCAAAATAAGTAAAGATCTTGCTGTGTAGTTTGTATTGCTTGTTATTTAATTTACAATTATCGGATTGATCTCATGCTCTCACTCAACTATTCTTTTTAGACTTCACAGGTGTAGCTGTCAGACTCAGATTAGGGACCATTAGGTACGAATGGCGCTGGTCGTGTGTGAAGTATATATCATGGATATTGGGGGACAATCTGTGATCGTAGATGGGATATAAATGATGCCCGGGTTGTTTGTCGTCAACTTGGTTATCGATATGTCGTTCGAACTCTTCAGAGAAACGATGTTCCTTCTGGTTCAGGCCTAATTTGGTTATCCGACCTCTATTGCACGGGAAATGAGCAAAATATATCAAGTTGTTCCCACGATGGTTGGGGGAGTCATCGTTGTTCACATAATGAAGACGCGGGAGTTCATTGCACAAATACAGGTAAAAATTTAGGGGATTAACCGATTGTCGTGAATACCAACGTTGCTGGATAGTCCAATCATAACGCACGATACTGGTTCAATTTCAAGTTTGAGAAACAACTTCTAATTCGTCGGTCTACAGTGCGTTAATCATCATTCATATGAGCAAAGAAATGATAAATTTAGCACATTTATTGGAGTTCTCATACCTGTCTACATGGATTTTTCATCATAAAAAAACTAAAAAGGTGTGAGTTAGGGATGTTCGCTTGAGCCCAATTACCCGAGATTCAACGAGCGTGAGATGATTATGGGGCACTAAAAAGTCTTTTTGAAACCAAACAAGCACACGCTGTTGTTAGGATTACTACACGATTACAGGGATCAGGTTATTCACTCATTTCAATGCGTTCAAGTCATTTTACGTGAACAGCCCCTTTAGTGTTGTTTCAAACGATTAGACATTATTTCGAAACTCTACGCCATATATTATTGGTGTGAAGCGCTTTAATTTGCTGGATGCACGATAAAGAAAAGACAAGCAGTAATCTCATGCATAGAGTGGCCATTCGGTTTCAATGGAAAAACAACTTGCTCAAGTAGTTTTGTATTGCTTATAATTTTATTTACAATTTTCGGATTGCCGATCTCACACATTCCACTAATCTTCTTAGACTTCACTGTGCCTGTTCAAACTCAGATACAAGGACCATTAAGTGCCAATGGCTCTGGTCGGGTTGAAGTATTATATCATGGATTTTGGGGAACAATCTGTGATCATGGATGGGATATGAGAGATGCTAGAGTTGTTTGTCGTCAACTTGGTTATCCAGGTGCTGTCAGGGCACTCCATAGTCAACAGGTTCCTTCCGGTTCTGGTCAGATATGGTTAAATGAAGTTTCTTGTACTGGGAAAGAGGAAAACATAACAAGTTGTCCTCATTATGGTTGGGGGGTTCATAATTGCGTACATGACGAAGATGCTGGAGTTGAATGTTCTACAATAGGTAAAATATACATTTCCTGGCACTTCTCGACTAAGATTTTGGGGCGAAATTTCGCTGGTAGATATTTCCATATTTATAGCCGTGAAAACGGAAACATGGCTTGTTAAAAAAGGCTTGTTAAAGAACAAAAATTCCTTAAGCAACACGTTTACACACTCGTTATTATGATTACAGTATTTCTTGTTCTCCCAAGATCCCACGGGTCATTCTATAGCTGTATAAAGACACGGAAAATGTTTTCTATTTTAGTGTAGAAGCGCGTTGTTCTATAGGGACAAAAATTTTAAAATATTTACGTTTTAAAATATCTGAAATTTATCATATTCATTACTTTTCTTACAGCTTATGCTTATTTAGATTTATAACCATATAACGAACCAAAATAGCAGCACATTCGGACTGTTGTTGATATTTTTAGAAATATCGTGACTGAAATTAATTAAATATAAACAAGGCGTTAGTTTACATTTGCTTAGCGATTGCATCCTACCTCTGGAATAACAGTTTTTGACCATCAAATACCCTCATATGACCATTATAAGATATTCCTTTACGATTTTGCAGTTGTATTACAAGGGCCGTTAAGTTCAAAGGGCACAGGACGTGTTGATGTATTCTACAATGGACATTGGGGAACTATTTGCGAAGAGGGATGGGATTTGAGAGATGCTCGGGTTGTTTGTCGTCAGCTTGGTTATAAAGATGCTGCAAGGGTACTTCTTGCTGGTCAGGTACCTTCTGGTTCTGGGCAAATATGGTTGTCTGACGTAGATTGCAAAGGTGAAGAAAAAAGTATAGCAACTTGCTCTCACAAAGGTTGGGGCTCTCATCGTTGCTCTCATCGCAGGGACGTCGGGGTGGAATGTACAACAAAAGGTAAACAGCTGAATACAGATCGATATTCCATTTGGCAAAAAAGTTACGAAAATTTCAGGCGAAAGAAAATAACGACTAGGATTATAGTTGAACTCTTGATGTTTGAAATATTTTTTCAATACAATATTTGCGGCAGGAATAGAATGACTGAAAGGACCTAGCATTACAAGAAATTAATGACAATATAGCTGTCACGCGTGTATATGACATAAAATATAAAACGCAAAAGCGTCAACATATTGACCTCCAGTTCAAGCTTCTTTTCAAAAAACTTTTTGACATCTGAATTTTCGAATCAGTCGTATTTAAAAAAAAAATTTTTCAAGATGTATTCTTTCGCATTTGTTAAGGTCTGCATGCCCACACGATCCAATTTTCAGTGTCGGAGCCAATTTACTTCAGATGAATCTTTTAAAGTTCGTTCACTTGCAATGAATATGGGCAGCAATCAATTTGATACACCATAAATAACAACTTATTTCGCAGGCGTTTCAGTATCTTCTGCGGTCGCAAACAAAAAGTAGTTAAGACCAAAAAACGACAAAGTAAGTTTGAAAAAGCACGGAATGCCGTATTGAAATTTATCTCCACTGTTGGAATTATAATGCTGATTGACATCACTCTGCTGATTGACAACACGAATATTTTATATTATCTAAGACTTTACAGATACGCCTGTATCGATCAGATTACAAGGGCCTTCGAGTAGAAATGGTACTGGTCGAGTTGAAGTATTTTATCATGGATATTGGGGGACAATCTGCGATTATACATGGGATATGAGAGATGCCCGGGTTGTATGTCGTCAGCTTGGTTACCAAGATGTTGCTGGAATTCTTCGAAGAGACGAGGTTACATCAGGTTCTGGGCAGGTATGGTTAGCTCGCCTCGCTTGCACTGGAAAAGAACAAAATATCACAAGTTGCTCTCACAGTGGTTGGGGTGTTGATCCTTGCTCTCATCGTGAAGACGCTGGCGTAATATGTAGTACAACAGGTATATATAAGATTACAGAATAATTACATTCAATAATTGGATACATTTAAGAGTTGCAACTCTTCATTCCAATTTTATCTTACATTGTATGATAAATTTCGTTGTTCTTTTCAGATTTATCAGCTACACCTGTCGGTCTAAGATTACAAGGTCCATTAAGCACGAAAGGTATTGGTCGTGTTGAATTGTCGTATCATGGATATTGGGGGACAATTTGTGATTCTGGATGGGATATGAGAGATGCTAGGGTTGTATGTCGTCAACTTGGTTATAAAGATGCTGCAAGAATTCTTCAGAGGAGCGAAGTTCCTTCTGGTTCAGGGCAGATATGGTTATTTAACGTCACTTGTACTGGCGAAGAACAAAATATCACAAGCTGTTTTCATCGTGGTTGGGGGATTTCTTATTGTGATCATTCTCTAGACGCTGGTGTAGAATGCAGCACGACAGGTATGAAGTTATAAAATATTTCAACTCCGTGTCCTTTCATGGGTATCGTATCTGCTCGGTATCGAGTCTGCTCTATACCATATATTATTCATGTTAAACGTAAGGTTTAGAAGAGTTTGCCATGAAGTATTCAGACTATTTTTACTGTTCCAACGCAATTATCCCTGCTCTGGTTTAATTAATGAAAGCAATCACCACACAAAGATTACATTAGAGAAATCGAGCAAACACGATGTCACGCCTAAGACGCCGTGAAAATGGTCACTTCGTGTTTACTAAATTTCGCTTTACACGAACCACGATTTTACATAGTTTCACCAAACCCAAGGATCGCGTGCAGTAGCTTAGCCAGCCTTACGATTTGTCCCGCTATGCATGCTAATATTTTTGTGTTCATTGACTGTGAAAACAATGAATTTATAAATTATAACTCGAAATTTATCGCAGAAAACTCATGCTGTATACTCTATTCCATGTGGTGATTGCGAGAAGGAATATCTAGGTGAAACAAAACGTCAGTTCGGCACACGTTTGAAAGAACATCAAAAGGCCTTAGAAATTTCAAAATTAGCCTTGGTGAAACATGTGTGTCAAACAAACCATAACATTGCGTGGACGATTCTAAAGTCGTTATCACTAAGGATCGTTATGGACAAATGCGTTGTTTGGAAGCCAGGCATATTAATTCGAGTCTTTGTGCCCAAAATAGGGATGAAGGAAACTATTTGCCATTTTACATCTGATTGATAGATGACGTCATGTTGAGAGCATATAAGGATCTGACATCTAGACTAAGGTTTCAACATCAGATCACCCTGATGAAGACACTAGACCTGAGTGTCGAAACATTGGGATGTGAATTTAATCTTTGTGTGGTGATTACTTTCATTAATTAAACCACGTTGCGATGAACTTATTAACTTCAATTCGTTATTTTTAGTGCTTTTTTCGTCGGAAGGCTTTTATTTTCGAAATTATTGGTAGAAATTGTAAAACAGATTTAATCTTATCAGCCGCATGAAAAATTCATATTCACCCAAAATTTAGTCGAAAACTACAGTACCCAGATAATGTAGTTTGCAGAGAAGTAGATTCTCTATAGGTAATAATTACTACCTCAAGTCAAGTGCCGCCTTGAAGCCAGAAATAAGCGTTTAGAAAGTTGGGGAAAAATTGCGATTCACTCACGCATGGGTACAGTAATATAATGTTGAAATTTTTAAGTGGCTATAGTTATGGTATGTTTTGATGTTAATGAATTATAAACGACGGTATGAACAACAATATGAACAACAAAAAGAGTTTGTGGAATGTTTTTAATCCAATGACCCGAGTAATTACCTCTTTGCCCTCAAGGCCCAGGTGAATATATACTCTCATAATAGGGGAAAGCACGATATTTCAATGTTTCTTCTACTTGACTTAAACCTTGTAATTCATGCGGGAGAGGTGAAGGAGTCATTGAATTTTCACATGAGAACTTTTTAGGAGATTTTTATTTTACAACACTGTGAACATACATAAATATTAGGTGATTTAGGTTTAGTTTTTAATGGCCATGCCTCTTGACAAATTAACTGCATAAAGTAAGGAAATATATAATAGATTTATGAAATCTATAAATATTGGATTTAAGTTTGTTCAAGAATATAATGCTACCATTTGTTATGTAAAAATCTTTTAATCAAGTAATCATCCTTGCTAGTTATGTCTCAACATTTTCGTTTCTTATTTTTATATTCACATCTAATATGATTTTTAACAGAAGTACTACTTTGTTTTCTTTTCATGTAGTTTTTATTTTTTTCCACTTTAAATTGCTTTTCACATCCAGTCTCTGTTGTTATTTGGTTCACTTGATACGTTGAAGCCCTTTCTTTAGAATGTTTTTGCCCGACACATGCCCTGGATTTTTTAACTCTATATAAGAAATTATAGGTTTGCATTCAACCCTGATTTCTTTAAATTGGATAGGGAGAATTTCAAATAAATAAGTATATTACTTGACAAAGTGTGTAAATACTGTTCTAAATCATTCCTGCTATTAAATTGAAAAACAACAGAAGTATCATTAGACTCAGATATACCACAAGAATTTTTTGCATGAGGATAAAAAAAAATAGAAAAAGGGATTAAGTTATATCATGCATTAAGGCCATCATATACCCATCTAATATCAAAATAGCATCATTACTTTGTGTAAAAGTATTCATCAAAGCTGAAGCAAAGTTCTGTATTATTAATGAGTGGCCTCATTAACCGAGCGACTCAGTTGTCTGCACTCGCTCTACAACAACCCTTACAACGACACCAACCACTACAATGACAACAAACGCTACAACCAGAAAAGCCAAAACTACAACTACAGCAGCTACATTTGTTTTACACACTCCGTTATTTCTTTAAGAATTTACAGCTACGCCTGTGAGACTAAGATTACAAGGCCCATTAAGTGCAAATGGTACCGGTCGAGTTGAAGTACTCCATCATGGATATTGGGGTGCAATATGTGCTCGTGGATGGAACAGAGAAAATGCAAGGGTTGTATGTCGTCAACTTGGTTATGATCCAGACGATGCAAAGACTTTTCAGTGGAACCTAGTCCCTCCTGCCTCTGGACCGTTATGGTTAAAAAATGTCCGTTGTATTGGAGATGAACAGAATATTACAAGTTGTTCTTATGATGGTTGGGGGTTTACTTCTTGCTTATCTGATGGAGTGGCAGGTGTACATTGCTACACGATAGGTAAGTTATAAAATATACCAACGTTCCTGGATAGTCCAATCATATCGCACGATAAAGGTATAATCTCAATTAAATTTGAAAAATAACACCGAATTCGTCGGTCTACAGTGCGTTAATTATTATTCATATATGCAAGGAAGTGATAAATTTAATACATTTAACGGAGTTCTTATACCTGCACTACATTGAATGAGTTAGGAGCTGTTCGCATGAGCCCAAGTACTCGAGATATAGCGAACGTGAAATGATTTTGAAGTACTAAAATGCCCTTTTGAAACCAAACAAACACACGCTGTTTCTAGTATGACTACACGATTACCAGGATCATTGCTTCGAAACTCCACGCCATATATTATTTATATCAAGGGCTTTAGGTACTGGATGTACAAAGAAAAAACAAGCACTTATCTCATAGATTCGACCAACTTTCTAAGAATGTACCCGCTATACTTGTAAGACAGGGGTTACAACATGGCCATTCAGTTTAAACGTATTCAAGTACACAGCAAAATCGACAATTCTTACCTAGAATAAAGTTCTTGGAAAATTCTTATTCTAAGCAAAATTTTGCTTAAAATAAGTAAAGAATCACGATCTTGCTGTGTAGTTTGTATTGCTTGTAATTTGATCTACAATTATCGGATTGATCTCATACTTTCATTCAACTATTCTTCTTAGACTTCACTGGTGTACCTGTGAGACTCAGATTACAAGGACCATTAAGTGCCAATGGCGCTGGTCGAGTTGAAGTATTATATCATGGGTATTGGGGGACAATCTGTGATGATGGATGGGATATGGGAGATGCTAGGGTTGTTTGTCGTCAACTTGGTTATCGAGATGTCGTTCGAACTCTTCAGAGAAACGAGTTTCCTTCTGGTTCAGGTCAAATTTGGTTATCTCGCGTCAATTGTAGCGGAGATCAGCGAGATATAACAAATTGTTCCTACGGTGGTTGGGGAAATCATCGTTGTTCACATCATGAAGACGCGGGAGTTGAATGCACAAATACAGGTAAAAATTTAGGGATCTAATCGATTATCGTGAATATAAATGTTGTTTTACTTCTTATATAACTAATTATCTGCGAATCTCACATATGAATTCTTTAACACTTTTTGTCGCCGTTTTCATAGCAAGACAGTAGATAAATTATAGATTTAGATATTATGATGCCGCGCCAGGTTGGACCACGTGCGTGTCTTGTGAGTGTAATGCGATATAAATGATATGTGGCCAGACACAAATTCTAGTGGTTGAAGTTGTGTTTCTGTCAACATGCTATCTTTCGCTATTTATTCATTGATGTATGACAAGCGGAGGAAAATAATAATACACTATTGAACTCAAAAAAGACTACCTCCAGCCGGAAATTTAAAAAAAATCTTGCGGTCATGCATGCATGCCCCAGCCTTTTCACACAAGTAAACACGCTGTTTTTTGAAACTTTTTTGAATCTCTATTCATGATGATAGTTCCGATTTTTTTTAGATCTCAGCGCTTTACCTGTCAGACTAAGATTACGAGGTCCTTCAAGTGGTAATGGCACTGGACGTGTTGAAGTATTCTATCGTGGACAATGGGGGACAATCTGTGATAATGATTGGGATATGAGAGATGCTAGGGTTGTTTGTCGTCAACTTGGTTACATAAATGCATCCAGAGCCCTTGACGGTGACCAGGTTCCTTCAGGTTCTGGGCAAATATGGTTGTCTAACGTCGAATGTACTGGGGACGAACAAAACATAACACAGTGTTCACACCGTGGTTGGGGACGACATTCATGCTCTCATGCCGAAGACGCCGGAGTTGAATGTTTAACCGCAAGTATGACTAATAACAACAAAATCAATTCTAGTATTGAGTAAATTGGCTTGTAGGTACACCACTTAAGTATTTAATATTGCAAAGCTGACGTGTGTACCTATAAGTTAACTTACTTATTTTATATCAAATCAAAAGCTTATCACATAATAATAATATCTTTGTAATACCATTATCTCTAAGACGGATGGTCATCTTTCTTCCCAAATGGTTTTCCGGACCGACCTTTCTTGGCCACATACATGACACATCCACATCCACATCGACTTCCTGAATGTCTGGCTATCTAGAAATTTTAATTTAGGGGATGTTCACATGAACGAGGTTATTAAAATTTAATGAAGCGTGGAATAAAAGAATTGCATTGCAAGTTGCATGAAAAATTGCACCGTGTAACGTGGCCTTTATGTGCGCATGATTTTTTTTGTACGCTATTGTCCTATGATATATAAACATGAAGATATAAATATATAAGCCTACCACCAAATTAAGCGGTCTTGCTAAAGTTTATAACGATCATATATCTCATCAATTGCTCTATTCTTTCAAGATTTTCCCGCTATACCTGTGAGGCTGCGGTTACAAGGACCGTTAAATGCAAGTGGAATTGGTCGTGTTGAAGTCTTCTACAATGGACAATGGGGAGCAATCTGTGATCGTGATAGTAGATGGGATATGAAAGATGCTAAAGTTATATGTCGTCAACTTGGTTATCAATATGTTGTTAGGACCCTTCAAAGACACGAGGTTCCATCCGGTTATAAGCAGATATGGTTGGAATACATTGACTGCACAGGGAAGGAAGAAAATATTGAAAGTTGTTCTCTTAGTATCTGGGGGGATAGACACTGCTCTGATGATGAAGTTGTTGGTGTTGAATGCGCAACAAAAGGTAAGAAACTGATTAGGGCGTTTACTCGCGACCCAAGTCGAAATTCCTGCGGACATTAGGCGGTACGCAGAATTGGTCCTTTCTGCAATCCGCCAAATTCCGAAATCTACCTCGAATTATTTGGAGTAACTTGTTCTGCAATTAGCAATCAAGGAAATTATAACTGACCTAAACAATAATAACTTACTTGCTAAAAGTTATATTTTTTGAGTTTTAGTATTTTTCGTACATTAATATACTCACGAGGCTATAGTTTAACATCTTCTGCAAATTTCGCCCGAAGAAGAATTTTAATTTTTTCCGAATTTTCTAGCCATTCATTAGCAAACAACATATAACCTGAGAACCCGGTAAATCGAGTAAGAAATATCAACGAAGCGAACTAGTTGTGAACGCCGTTTTCGTGATGTTTTAATTTTAAACTCTTGAAACCGTTCCCCTCAGTAATCACTGAAATTGCCCGATCAATCAGCTTCTCCGAGATAAATGTACACAAGCGACAACGGTTTTCGACAATGATGCGAACTTATAGTGGGTACGTAACATATGTTACGTAATATGTGTGTAGTTATGTATGGCAGAAACTAATGCAGAAACAGAAACAATGGCAGAAACAGTAACTAGGTACGAGGTACATCCAGCTTTAGTTTTGTTGAGGATACATGGTTTCTGGCTGGTTATAACATTGGTTAACATTGATAACATTCAGTTAAAATTCAAATTTGCTCTTTTAGATGTCACTGGTATGCCTGTTGAACTAAGGTTAAAAGGATCATTGAGTTCTAATGGTTCTGGCCGCGTCGAAATATCCTATCGTGGACGATGGGGAACAATCTGTGACGATGGATGGGGTATGAAAGATGCTCGGGTTGTATGTCGTCAACTTGGTTATAAAGATGTTATTAACGCTTCTTCTAGTGGAAAAATTCCTCCCCGTTCTGGACCAGTATGGTTAACACATGTTTCTTGTACCGGAGAAGAAAAAAATATAGCAAATTGTTCTCATACAGGTTGGGGGAATGTTTATTCTTGCTCTCATCATGGAGACGCCGGAGTTCAATGCTTTCGGAAAATAGGTAAAATTCATATTTTAATAAAAATCTCAACTTTGTAATACATTTAGGTAATATAATTAAATATATTAATTAAGGTAACTTAGCAATGTGTCTAGCTTTGTATATTTAAGTTTCGCGCTGTTCTTTAAGACTCTGTATATGTTGAGAGCGCTCTCAACGTTGAGACGCTGACACAGTGCATATGTAGCTATTATGGCGCGGCACCCGGTTGGACATGTGTGTCTTGTGAGTGTAATGCAATATAAATGATATCTGGCCAGACAACTTCTAGTGGTTGAACCACTAGAAGTTGTGTTTCTGTCAACATGCTATTTTTCGTCATTTATTCATTGATGTATGACAAGCGGAGGAAAATAATAATACACTAATGAACTGGAAGCTAGGCTACCTCCGGCCGGAAATTTAAATGGAAATCTTGGTCATGCCCATCCTTTTCACACAACTAAACACGCTGTTTTTTTAATCTTTTTTGAATCACTATTCATGAATCACGATTCAAGTCATATGTTCGTCTTATGTCCGACTGATTTTTTTGTATCCTGTTGTTCCTATGATATATAAACATGAAGATATAAATATATATATATATATATATATATATATATATATATATATATTTTATATATATATATATAAAATATATATATATATATATATATATATATATATATTTATATTATAATATATATATATATATATATATATATATATATATATATATATATATATATAAACCCAACCAAGCAGTCTTGCTATTGCTTGAATATATTGGGACTGTTTCAAATCTAGTATTTAATGGAGCGAGACAAATTTGGATGTGGTAATGAATTATTTGAGTTGATGAGTAAAATAGTTTAAAGAAATATGATGAACGCATGATTATAGGAGAAACTTTGATGATTTTAGACTCTGCCGGATCTACGTATTTAGTATAAATTATTGTATAACTTCATTATAGAGTATACATGCACAGCCTTAGTTCAATCTTGATAAATGTAAAATTACAGTCAAAATTAGGAATTAGTATTCTGAATATGTTTTTGCCACTGTTGTAGTGCTCAATATGAGGCTTCCGCGAAAACGATTTATTGATACTCCTTTGTTAACTAACTTGCTAAATATTTTAGTAGCCTTTTTTTTTCTTTTAGTTAGCCTACAAATTTATAACGATCATATATCTCATCAATTGCTCTATTGTTTCAAGATTTTTCCGCTATACCTGTGAGACCGCGGTTACATTGTTATATTGAATTTTGTTTGATACAAGGGATATATTATACACTTAATGTATGCTCCTGAGGGAAATAGTGGGTTTTGTTTTCCTGTCGAGGGAAACATTCAGACTCGAGGGAAAACAATTTCCCGAGGTGGTATAAAGTGTTTTGTTATATATAGGAGCAGAAACATACATGTTACACAACAATTTCATTAAAAAAAACACTTTACTTTTTTATGACAAGAAGCGGGCAACAATTTTTCATTTGTTTTCCTGGCGGGAACATTGCATTTTTTTAAAGTCATGTGACTACGAAGAACCAATCGCATTTAAAATACATAGCACCTATATATATATATATATATTCCTTCTCTAAATCACTTAGCAATGGCACATTCACTTAGTCTATTTTCATTCTCAGAAAAAGAAAAGTCACGTGGGGAATTGGACAGCGCAGCTGAATGGCCTACATTTATGGCAATACCAGCAGTCATCATCGCTGGGATTATCATTGCCAGTGTCGCGATATTTTATCGTCGCCAAAGGTTAAGAAGAATAAGGAATATTAAACCTGATTCCAAATCTCAACATACAATTAAAAATCCAGTTTACGGTGAGTCAGATCAAGTCGGTCTCAAACAAAACCATTGGCATTACGAGTCAGGAGAGGCCGCAGATAACGTGGGTTACGTCACTGCCGTTGGCTAAAATTAGCGCTTGCCATTCTTTGCTAATGATGTCTTAAAATATGTAGTGTAGTGCGAATTATTTTTTTTTGTTACGAGCTGCAGACGTTATATATATATTTATATTTTTATAATTAACAATTAGACAGCGACACCGTAGGATTTCTCTATAGGAGCGAAGTGAACGAGACGGTCATAGCCTACTAGTAGTGTATAGAACTAAAAACATTGTGTTTATATAACTGTACAGAAACACAGGAAATTTTTTTCTTTTTCTTTTATAATATAACTCAGAAAAAAATTTCCAACGAATATTATAATTCGATTCAATGAAAAATTCTGATTACACTACTTTGCTTGTCAAGTTCGGCGGGAAAAGTCCCGTTATAATTGTTGCATTATAAATAATAACAATAATACTTTATACAGTTAACTTTATTACTCTTAAAGTTTCTTGTATGAAAGAAAGTAAGAAGAATGGTGATTTTCGTTTGTTAAGAAAAGTGACGTAAAGGTTTTGCATATACGAATAATTATGTGAAAATATGTATTTATCCCCGAGGAGGTGCGGAGCACCGTCTGAGGGTACTAATGCCGCCCGGAGATTAAGAATTATACCCGGGTATTTTGACAAAACCTAGCGGAATCGAAAGTTTTCCAAATGTTATGAACCTTGGACGTCCAATGATCGTGTTGTTTGTACGTATGCGCGAAATTTGAACGAGTAAAGAACGGTAATCTACAACTTGCAGATAAAATAGCCCCAGGTACTTTTTCCCCTTTAACAAGCACGTTAAATTACTCGCGGCCGATCTGTACGGGATTTACAATGGTTCGTGCTACGCACTCTTGTAAATACCCATACAGACCGGCCGCTCGTATTTTAAATAGTACGTATAATAATAATAAAAAAGTATTCCTTGCGTCACGACAAACCATGCAAGCGCTTCTTAGCTATTTAGCTATCCTCATCTTTCAACGCAAGGGGGAGATGTTAAATTTATATTGAATTTGTTCTAGTGTCAGGATTTTGTTTCACAGCAATTTGTTTATGTAGTACAGTACTCTTGGTGATATAAACCCAAAAATAACACATTTTGTTGCTGCATTTTAAAAAGGGTATAGCGCGAACAGTGGCAGAAGATGATTCCATCAATATCAGCTATTATTACTCTAGATCCATTCCAGAAATATTTTTACACTAAATTTAGTCCTTGAATTAGAAAAGAAAGGACCAAGACCTTCAAGTTTCTGCATTGCACAACTTTGCTTCCTTGTGCATTGCTCCAAACAAAAATCTTCAGATTAAGTAGAATTGCATTGCAAGTTGCAAGAAAAATTGCACCGTGTAACAAGGCCTTTACCAGCCAATATTAATTTTCATCATTTCGACTATGGTGCAAGCAAAAATTGTTCACATGACAGTTAATTATTAGCCACAAGAATGAAAAATTGAACATTTTTAAAGTTCAAATTTTGCCATGGGATCCCAGGAAAGTGTCAAATATTGCAAAAATGATATATGAGTCGGTTATCAAATGAGTGCATACCGGTAACTAAAAAATCTGATTTTTTTAGGTGTTGTAATATTTACGACTAGGTGGGGAGGTGTTATATGTGGCTCACCCCACCATACCACCCCCATACATTATAACATAAAATTAATAGGCTCTTTTCTGCAGACAATAACATCATAGACTTTTCAAGGTAAAAATGGTATTTTGGTATCACCAACAGGAACTGGAAAGACATTATGTTTACTTTGTGAGAGACACATATTTTAACGATAATTCCAAGCGCAACAGGTTTCAAAGCCATTCAACTTTTTGTTTACATTGTGAATTGACGCCCAACATCTCTCAAAATTGATGCACCGAACGATTTTGAACGAAAATTCCAAGCGCAACAGGTTTCTGATTTCTGAAGTCATTCAACTTTCGTATAACTTTGTTTACATTGTGAATTGGCGCCCATAACAACAATTAAGACACAACTCACTGTAAAAGGTTTGAAAAAACACAAATTCAAACAACATCTTCATATCGAATCTTCATATAATCTGATGAAATTATGTTTACCTGAAAAATGGCGCATGTGTGGCTTTTAGATTTTGTTGCCATTCTCAATAATTATATTATATAAGGCGGCTCATATTATATAAGGCATTTTCAAATTTCAACTGGCTTGAGGTTGAATTCAGCCCGGCATTCACACCTAGCTGAAACCCGAGCGCAAAAACAACTTCTTCCAGTGACTTCCAGAGAAGCTATTTTGAGAAGAAATCATTCCCAGTAAGCGTGTTGACATTTCTCATGTAAATACGACGTGAAAACTAGCCTTACAGGCAAAACTAGCCTTCCTGTGAAGGTCATTTTAAAAGCCCTGAGTAAACAATATATTATAGTATTTACCACACAACGAGCATTGCATGCCATTCATATGAAAGTATCGTGTTATCGCATTTCATCTATGACTTTTGATTACTGATTATTCCCTTTTAAATTCATTGTCATGCTGTAAGTTAATAGGAAGTTACCGCATTATATTCATCCTGGCTCATTCGAGATCAGACCTCACATTGATCTCTAGAGCATTTATGAATGAAAAGTCTCGATCTGTGCAGTATAGTGTCAAACTAAGGCATGATTCACACTAGCTCCGAAAAACGAGCGCCGCTCATATTTTGTAATTAACATTTTCTCATCTGCTTATTTTCAGGATTGCCTTATTGTCTTATGCGGTTGCTACCGCGCTTTTTATACATTCGTTGTCTCCAGGAAGTTTTCCGTATCATATTACTTTTAACCTTTTCTATATATATCTAATACAATTCAGCGTTATCCCATAACCAATACGTATAGTCGAGATATACTGTAAGAATTTGCTGTACGACGTATCGTACATATTTTTCTTTCCTACCATTGGTATTACTTACGTTTAATTAATTATAGAGGCTTCTGATTAACGACATAGCTAGACGGTCCCGACGAAGAGGTCATATTGAGAACAGATCAAGGAATCGTAAACCGGCATTTTGGAAGACACGGTATGTACCTTTCTACTAGATTTATAGTTCAGGCTTCACTTTGCTACTTTCCAGTAATTGATTGATAAAAGGCAAAGAGAGATTGTCCTGTCACATATACATTCCTATTAAAATTTAATCATCGCAATTTTAGCGTAGAATTTTAAATGGTCCAGAACTGACCCAAATCAGGCCAGAACACATTTTAAGAAACACTTTCACATAGAGAGAATTGAAAGCCGCTTTCACATAAGACTTTTTGCCATGTAACATGTGATTGCATACATTTGATATAATTTTATACATAAAACTCCCGCAATGATTTCATATCAGTGGCAGACTGTAAGGCTGTGCGACCCATGAATTGTATTTACTTCCGTGTCATATGATGATTTTTTTAGAAAGTTTTGGCTGGCTTGCATTTTTTAGGCGACAAAAATTTAACATGTATTAAACTAGGCCTATAAGGAAATTGACATGATTCCTATAATTATTGTATACGTTCAACAACGCATGAGTATTTGTTTCTGTATCACAGCATAAAATGATAACGTTTTGAAGCATATAGAGTCAGATAATTTTCTATACAAGCTTTACTATAATATTGCGTAACCAAACGCGGCTTAAGCCAAACGCGGGATAAGTGATATAAAGCTTATACGTGTATAATTATACTAAATACTATTATTAGGTAATAGCAATGTATGTAGAGTATTTACCACATTCAGTTAATAAAATAAAACTGGGTGTCCCAAAAAAACTTCACCTGTTTGATTTAATAAAACGTAAAAATTATTAAAGCTGGCGAACTAAAATATACCCAGCTGCATTTAGAAAGGGCTAACTTGTTAATCCGGGCATTCATCACATTACCAGAAATTTGGGACAAGATGGCGTCTTGCATTGGGATAAAAACAAACATGGCGGCCAAATTTCATGCGAAACAATATGGCTTAATCACAAAACTTTAAATTACGCTTCCTATGTGTGTTTTTTTCTTGGTTCGGAGTTCGAATTCTGTAAATCGCTCAGAGAGGAAGAGTTATAACAAAAAATATTCACTCACTAGCAAATCCTCTAGGTTCCTGAGTGCGATTTATATACAAGTCCATTTGAATGATTCGGCTATATAAACCATAGTAATATCGGTAAACATGCTCTACAATCTGGTCAAATACACCACTTTCCTTTTGGACGATGCAAAGTTCGGAGTTGGAAATGTCTTTGGTTGTGATATAGCTACCGATATAACTCATAAATATCTTCGTATTTTTTACCGCCACGGTTCCCACAGCGTTTGAAATTTCATGATTTTTCAGTGTGTTAAGCATCCGGCCATATACATTTGAAGCATAATTATAATTGCATAATTATACCATCGAGCCATTTTATGAAATTTTCACCAATTCCTTGGGTCAAGAAGCGGACGCTGCCCACGAACGCGGACGCAAAATGTCTCAAATTTCTGGTAATGAGTGCAATTACTTGAAAACACGCTTAAACACGTAAACTTGTAACACGTAAAGAAGAACGCATTGAGTTGCATAAGGTAGGTGCCGACAGCCGAAGTTGAAAACGAGCGTGCTCCAATTGTCTTTATAAATTGAATCTTGGTTGACACAGAAGACTTTGGTCCGCAGAACGAAGAGTCCTCAAGAAGGCATACGGTTTAACTAGTTTTTAAATATATGGTGGCATCAGGCCCTTAAAAGAGCTTTAAATTTGATCCTCTGTTCAACAGGGGGCCAAAGCAAACTCTGAGTAGAGTTGCCTGCTTAAATTTCGTACACTGAAAAATAATTCTAGCTGCATAATTGTGAAGCGATTGTAGTCTCCCAATCAAATATTTAATTTATGCTGACTGTACTGCAAAATGTTACAATAATCCAGTTTCGATGTTACAAAACATGGATAATAATCTTAGCCGTGTTAAGAGATTTCCTAATTTTTGAAATCATTGCGTGTATACGAGAGAACGCAGCCTTGCAGTTGGAACTGACCTGGGGTTCAAAAGAGATATATTAATAAAAAAGAACCCGAATATTCTTTACAATCGACGAGCATGTAACCGTTTGGCCAGAAACATGAAGTGTGTCAATCAGCTCAATCATGGGGCGTGGATGAGTGCTGCATTTCAGTTTAATTTAATCATTTTCTCCTGTATTATACGCAAAAGGTAACTAGAAAGTAAAAAAGTAAAAAAACAAATTAGATAGAATACAGCAAGGATGAAGTAGAAAGGAACAATAAGAACTGTACTAAGCTTTTCCATCCAAGACAAATCATATATAACATATCAAAAGATACAAAAAACCAAAAATAAAAAAGTCAGATAGCCCAAGAAGCACGAGGTCTATCAAGATCGTAAGATAACGTTTTATAATAATTCCTACACTAATTTTTGAAATGCTCTAAACTAATATTAGTAGTTATTAAATCATTGGGCAGATTGTTCCTCAAATATACAATCCTTTTGAAGTAGGTGTTCTTAAACAGTTCAGTCTTACATTTAGGGACTTTCAGCTTGTATTGAGATCATGACCTTAACCCAGATCAAATCAGAACAAAACTCCACGAAAGTGTCAACATTGCAATCATAAAGACCATTCTTAAGTAATACCGGGCCATTCGTAACTAAACTATTTCTAATTCACTTTGTTTGCTTATTTTCATAGTATTGCACGTGGTAACGTATTTTCAAAGCCCAACGTAATTAGATGCACAGCTATTGAAATTTTAATGTATGATAATGTATACTTTTGTAGTTTTTTATGCACCTTGAATAGCGTCACTTTTCTATGAGACACACTGTAGAAACAAGCTTAATGAAAGAAACGTGTTCCCTGTGCAACGAGAGTGATATCATGATTTATATCGCGTCGGTTTTGTTTAGTTACCGGTATTTTCACGTCACAAGGAATGACAAAGAATTAACATGCATTACTTTGTGTGCTTATACATTAGCGAGCGTAATCCAGCAAATCAATATACAGTATTCCCCCGCGAACTCTAACCCTACAGGGGAAAGAAAAATTGTTCGAGTTACCGGGGGTTCGAGTTAACCGAGGTTGGTGTTAGGTTACGCCTATATTTACGTATATTGGATTGCCGCAGTTCATGCGTTTATTTCCTAAAAAATCCTGCTTTATATACTAATGAAGTACTGATAGAATACTAAAGAACACTACCAAATCTAAGGGAAATTAGATTTAGGTCGAATTACTGAGGAGTTTGAGTTAAGCGAGTTCGAGTTAGCGGGAGACTACTGTAGTGTAAAAATAATGGCCGTCGCAAAACGTGGATTCGCTCCACATGCAGGTAAACCTTTATTACATTATTGCTAACATTATCATTGTCTTTTAAAATGACAATGTTTTATGTTTGCCAGTTAAATTTTAGAATTCGACATAATTTGTCAATTCAGGGGCTGTTTACATCGGTCATACATTGAAGGCGAGCGTAAAAATTATGATAATATGCATAATATCTAAATAGGGCTACATGGAGCTCTACAATAACATTCAGTCGATTGTTGATTATCAGTATTGATAAATTTGTCTGACTGACTATAGTTTTGGACATCGTATTAAGCAAGCGACTTCCAGAGAAGCTATTTAATGTGGTTTTTGAGGACAAGCCATCCCTACTAAGTGTGTTGACATTTCTCGTGTAAATACGACGTGAAAACTAGCCTTACAGAGAAAACTAACCTTCCTGTGAAGGTCATTTTAAAACCCTGAGTAAACAATATCCTAGTGTTTACCACACAATTAACGAGCATTGCATGCTAGCATTCATATGAAACTATCGTGTTATTGCATTTAATCTATGACTTTTGATTACTGATTATTCCCTTTTACTTAAATTCATTGTCATGCTGTAAGTTAGGAAGTTACCGCACTGTACTCATTCTGGCTCATTCGAGATCAGACCTCATGTTGATCTCTAGAGCATTTGATTTATGAATTATGAATATGATCTGTACAGTATAGTGCTAAACTAAGGCATGATTCACACTAACTCCACGAACAACGAGCTCCGCTCATATTTTGTAATTAACATTTTCTCATCTGCTTGTTTTCAGCATTGCCTTATGCGGTTGCTACGGTGTTTTTTATACATTCGTTGTTTCCAGGAAGTTTTCCGTATCATATTACTTTTAACCCTTGTTATATATATGTAATGAAATTCAGCGTTATCCCATAACCAAAACGTAGTCAAGATCTACTGTACGAATTTGCTGTTCGACGTATCGTACATATTTTTCTTTCCTAGCGTTGGTATTACTTACGTTTATTAATTATAAAGGCTTCTAATTAACGATATAGCGAGGCGGCCCAGACGAAGAGGTCATATTGAGGACAGATCAAGGAGTCTTGAACCGGCATTTTAGAACACACGGTATGTACCATTCTACCAGATTTATAGTTCAGGCTGCACTTATCTACTTTCCAGTAATTGATTGATAAAAGGCGAAGAGAGATTGTCCTGTCACATTCCTATTAAAATCTAACTATCGCAATTTTAGCGTAGAATTTTAAATGATCCAGAACTGACCCAAATCAGACCAGAACAAATTTTAAGAAACACTTTCACATAGAGAGAAATGAAAGCGCTTTCACATAAGACTTTTTGCCATGTAACATGTGATTGCATACGTTTGATATAATTTTATATATAAAACTCCCGCAATGATTTCATATCAGCGGCAGATTGTAAGGCTGTGCGATCCATGAATTGTATTTACTTCCGTGTCACATAATGATTTTTTAGCACGTTTTTGCTTGTTTGCAATTTTTAGGCGACAAAAATTTAACATGTATTAAACTATGCCTATTAGAAAATTGAGATAATTCCTATAATTATTGTATATGTTCAACAACGCATGAGTATTCATTTCTTTATTACAGCATAAAATGAAAATGATAACGTTTTGCCAGACTTTGATTCAAATTTTTAACCTTTTGTTCCTTTGCCGGTATTTAACTTTCGTTTAGCATCCCAGCTTTTAATTCCATCATGTTCACTTTGTTCGTAGCTATTATACATGCAATTACTTTACTTCCCTATTTTGTTTACTATGAGAAGATTAATTATTATTTTCGCTATAAGAATATTAGTACAGGGAATTTAGAACAGTCTGGGGAAATGGGCCAGATTTTAGACTGAATTGATTTATCACAATGGAAGCAGCATCTCTTGTTTTGAATATCGAATGTCGGACACCTAGGCACTATTTTTCATTATTGTATAGGAGCATGCACAGACCCTATAAGCTTAAAATAGGATTAAAATTCCTTGTTGTCATAACGAGCGTATCTGCATTAACGCCATAGTTTACCTTTATGACATGTTAATGCCAAAGTTTACCTTTCATTTTAAATAAAATATTTCAGCCTCTATTTTCCTAGTGACACGTTCTTTCAGTGTAAATTGTATATGTTTCCTTGTTTTTAAGCTCACTTGTTCACAAAATGACGAATTTGGTAGTCATAACTGGCGTATTTTTTGGTTTAAGTTTTGTATCACACCATTGCGAAGGTAAATATTTCTTTCTAATTTGTATAGGCCTAATAGTGTTAGTTCACTTATGTAGTCGTTTGCTGCTACTAACCGGTTTACCAACAAAGTACCAGCTCGGGGCCGGATGTATAAAACTCTTTAACTACATTTTGCATATTTAAATCGACTCTGATTGGCCAATTATGTCATTAACTACAGTTAAGAGGTAACAGTTCCAGATCGACCTCTGAATAACTTTGCAACTCCGGTGTTTAGGTATATTTTTGTAGGTGTAGTGAACAATCGGGTACAAAACGAGTAAAATCTCTTGAAATTTAATTAAATCATTGCAAATCCATCTTGACAGTTTTTTTATAAACAGATATACTTTCTAGGATCATTGCTAAGATTGAAGGGGCCTCTGAGTGGAAATGGTACAGGTCGTGTTGAAGTATTTTACAATGGAACTTGGGGTACAATATGTGATGATGGATGGGATTTGACAGATGCCAGGGTTGTATGTCGTCAACTTGGTTATCCAGGTGCTGTCAGGGCACTCCGTGGTGGTGAGGTTCCTTCTGGTTCTGGACAGATATGGTTAACGGATCTCACTTGTACTGGTAAAGAACAGCTCATAACCAATTGTTCTCACAGTGGTTGGGGGGTCAGTCCTTTTTGCTCTCATTATCAAGACGCCGGAGTTGAATGTTTAAAAACAGGTATATATAACTGGATTTATTCATCATATATCGATATTCTTACGTATTTTCAAATATCAGGAGCCTTAGCTTTCGAATCATCCCATTATGTCACGGGAATATTTAGCAATTACACCACGTGATATACGACGAGAGCGAGTGGTAAAATCGTTTTATAACATAGCTACGATATATAATAACTTCTTATTGACCGAGCGCGATGTCTTTACCGACAAATATCGGACCGAGCTCTTTTTGAACAGACCGAGCTCGAAGATCGAGGTTTGGACAAAAAGATCGAGGTGCGATATTTCTCGGTGAAAACTGAGCAAGCGAGGTTAATGAAAAGTTTATTATATGCGGGCATAAAGCATGTATTTGCACCTGACGCAAACACGAAAGACATGAATTCATATTAGTAGCCTGGTACGCATTTGATAAAAAACAAAAACAAAATATTGAACGGTCATATCAGAATTAGTCAATAAAATAGTCATATTCAGTCAGTAGCTATACTAGAATTACATGCACGAGTAACCCCTTGCAAATTTAAGGTAAACAACCATTTTCCAGAACTATAGCCAACTATCCTAGCATGTAAATTATTACCAGATGACTCAAACGAGATCATATGTGATTTACTATAACATATAATCAAATTATACTCATCAGTAAGTTCACGTCACCCGTCTTCAGCTGCAAATAAGCACAAAGTTTATTAGTCTGTGTCTCAGTGCCTCAATTAAGGTTGCAAGGGCCATTAGCTTCAAATGGCACAGGGCGTGTTGAAGTATTCTACAATGGAACCTGGGGAACAATCTGTGATCGTAGATGGGATATCAATGATGCTAGGGTTGTTTGTCGTCAACTTGGTTATCGAGATGCTGTTCGAACCCTTGAGAGAAGTGAGGTTCCTTCTGGTTCAGGTCAAATATGGTTATCTGACGTCTATTGCAGCGGAGATGAGCGAAATATAGCAAGTTGTTCTCACGATGGTTGGGGGAAAAGTTTTTGTTCACATTATAAAGACGCAGGAGTTGAATGCACGAATACAGGCAAAAATAAGAATCAAATCCATGTTCGTTATACGTGCTGTTTTAATTTAATGATTTCTGCTTATTCTTTATCTTATTATGCCAAAACAAAATGGAGTTGAAAAGGAGTTCATGGAGAATAGGACATCAATACGATCACCTCAAATCGCCATATTCTTTCCGAATCCCAGATAACAAATTTGATCGACATTTTTATAAATACAGCTATAAAATGAATGCCGGAAAGAGTACTAAAATATGTCACCGCTAATTACTGAAACGTTAACTTTCTTAAGGCGGATTTTTATTCAGTGCGAAAAATTCGGCTTTTTGCGATCGCTTTCGTTTGAAAAATAGACAATCAGGTAGTACTAATCCCACGAGATGAGCTTGACTAAGCACATTTGAAAAGGAAGCAATCACGCGACATTTTACACTGAATGAAAATCCACCCTTAGTGAGAGAGATTGTGGCTATTCACTTTCAAATTGATGCCAATGAAAAAGAAAAACTCATTCAAGCATTTACATTAACTATACTGCATTGATCTCACGCTATTCTTCTAAGATTTCACCGATATACCTGTGAGAGTGAGGTTACAAGGACCATCAAGTGAGAACGACACAGGTCGTGTTGAAGTATTTTACCGCGGACAATGGGGAGGAATCTGTAAACATGGATGGGATATGAGAGACGCTAGGGTTGTTTGTCGTCAACTTGGTTTTAAAGATGCTGTTAGAACGCTTCCGTTGCACGAGGTTCCGGATGGTTCTGATAAAATTTGGTTATCTCAAGTCTCTTGTACCGGAAATGAGCAAAATATAACAAGTTGTTCTCACGATGGTTGGGGAAATCATAGTTGCTCGAGTCATGATATCGTGGGAGTTGAATGTACAAAAATAGGTATGCGATGAAACCACTGGTAGTTTTATTGATCAGATTGAGGGATTCAGTTTGGATATTTTCTTATTCCCACACAGTGTTCCTTTTTCGCAAATACTATAAAAGTATTCCAGAAACAAAGGAATAAAAACACATATTACATGAGTCATTACATTAATTCTGCCCGGGGATTTAAATTAAAGCCGGGAATGCAAATTCGAAATCGAAGTTGTCGTCCATTATGTCATGCACGTTGGACGTTTTTGTTAGTTATGCGCATGCGTGAGTTTAAGACGAGTTAAAACTGGTAAGTAGCAAAGGTTAAAAACGTGCAATTGGCTAAATAAAATTTTGGTTCGCGTGAGCATAACTGACATTTTCAATTTTAAAACTTTCTTTAAATAATGTTTTTTATTTGGATGATCTTGAAACTGAACAAAAATTTGACTCGTAAAATTGATTGAAAGAGAATTGAAAGATGCCTTCGGATAAAAAAACAACTTTTGATTCAAATGGATGGTGAAAAATCTACCATTTTGCATGAGGCTTTTGAACAGGTAAAATGGGCAGATTTTGTATTTTAAAGCAAGCGTTTTGTAAGTTTAATGTGTAGATTTATCAACAAATGTATGACACCTCTTTTAATTCATTTGTCAATTTTTGGTTGAAATAATTTTGATTGGGAAGGCATTTATAAAGGTAAATCTGTTTAAAAAGCCTAAAATTCGCTAAAAATTGTAGTATTTAAAACTATTCGTATAGCACAATTATGATTTTAGCGTAGGCAGCCCAGACTTTGACCTGCCCGTGTGATCTCGCGCATGTGATCTCGTGTGCGTATCGCTTTTACTTTGTTTACTTGGTTGCGCGACCACACACAGCGGACTATGAACATGAAGCAAGAATTATAATATATTGGTATACTTATATATCATACCAAAATAGTTGCACATTCGGACTGTTGTTGATATTTTTAGAAATATCGTGATTGAAAATTATTTAAATGTAAACAAGGCGTTTGTTTAAATTTGCTTAGCGATTGCAACCTACCTTTGGAATAACAGTTTTTGACCATCAAATACCCTCATATGACCATTATGATATTCTTTTACGATTTTGCAGTTATACAGCTAAGGTTACAAGGGCCGTTAAGTTCAAACGGCACAGGACGTGTTGAAGTATTCTACAATGGACGTTGGGGAACTATTTGCGAAGATGGATGGGATTTGAGAGATGCTAGGGTTGTATGTCGTCAGCTTGGTTATAAAGATGCTGCAAGAGCACTTTACGATGGCCAGGTGCCTTCTGGTTCTGGGCAAATATGGTTGTCTGAGGTAGATTGCAAAGGTCAAGAAAATAATATAGCAACTTGCTCTCACAGACGTTGGGGCTCTCATAGTTGCTGGCGTCGCCAGGACGTTGGAGTGGAATGCACAACAAAAGGTAAACAGCTGAATGCATGTCGATATGTTCAATTAGCTAAAAATTTCGGGTGAACAAAAATAACGACTGGAGTTATAGTTGAACTCTTGATGTTTGAAATATGTTTCCAATACAAATTTTGTGGCATGAATAGAATGACTGAAAGGACCTAGCATCACCAAATTCTTATCAACCGAGCGCGAAGTCTTTACCAAGAAATATCGGACCGAGGTCTTTTTGAACAGACCGAGCTGGAAGAGCGAGGTTTATGTATAAAAAGACCAAGGTCCGATATTTCTCGGTAAAGACCGAGCAGGCGAGGTTAATAAAGAGTTTATTATAATTATGGCATAAGGCGTGCATTTGCACTTGAAACAAACAGTAAATGCATCAATTCGTGTTAGTAGCTTGGTACGCATTTGGTAAAATTAAAAGCAGAATTTTGAATTATTTAGTTTACCTAAACTCTCTGGAGACGTCTTGATAATTAATTTTAAAAGCCATTATATTTTTTCTTGAGCATTTATTTGTGCCTTTTTAATTCAGAATTTCTCTGGTTTTCATCTCGTAATGGATCGCCGCTAACGCCGGTCCATTACAGGAAAGTAATGGAGACAAAATAGCTGTCGCTTGTATATTACATAAAATATAAAACGTAAAAGCGTAAACATTTTGATTATAGATCAAGCTTCTTTTTAAAACGTTTTGGTAACTTTATATTTTACGGCAATTCTCCAATCTGTCGAATTTAAAAAAAGTTATGAAAGTCACATGAATACGAATTGTTCGATTTTGACGGTCATTTGATAATAATTTATACCTAGAATGATTTTTTTTAAGATATAATCTTTCGTATTCGTTAATGTCTGCTCACAAGATCCAATTTTCAGTGTCGAATCCAAATTACTTCTGATGAATCCTTTATGGTCCGTTGACTTGCAATGTATATGATGGGCAGCAACCAATTTGATATCACTCTCTATTATCTTTAAGACTTTACAGATACGCCTGTATTGCTCAGATTACAAGGCCCTTCGAGTACAAATGGCGTTGGTCGAGTTGAAGTATTCTATCATGGATATTGGGGGACAATCTGCGATTATACATGGGATATGAGAGATGCCATGGTTGTATGTCGTCAACTTGGTTACCAAGATGTTGCTAGAACTCTTCAAAGAGAAGAGGTTCCATCAGGTTCTGGGCAGGTATGGTTAGCTCGCCTCGCTTGTACTGGAAAAGAGCAAAATATCACAAATTGTTCTCATAGTGGTTGGGGTGTTGATCCTTGCTCTCATCGTGAAGACGCTGGCGTAATATGTAGTACAACAGGTATATAAGGTTACAGAATAATTACATTCAATAATTGGGTACTTTTCATTCCATTTCATGCAATATTCATTCCAATTTTGATACATTTGTTTGCTCTTTTAAGATTTATCAGCTACGCCTGTCAATCTAAGATTAAAAGGTCCACTGAGCGCGAAAGGTATTGGTCGTGTTGAAGTATCGTATCATGGATATTGGGGGACAATCTGTGATGATGGATGGGATATGAGAGATGCGAGGGTAGTATGTCGTCAACTTGGTTATAAAGATGCTACAAGAGTTCTTCAGAGGAGCGAGGTTCCTTCTGGTTCAGGGCAGATTTGGTTAGATAACGTCGCTTGTACTGGCAAAGAACAAAATATCTCAAGCTGTTCTCATCCTGGTTGGGCGGTTTCCGGTTGTGATCATTCTCAAGACGCTGGTGTAGAATGCAGTACAACAGGTATGAAGTTGCAATTATAATTCAACTATATAATTGCGTACATTCATGTGGTGCACATTTTTTTTGGAGCGATTTTTTATCTGCTTTATGATATTATGTGAAGAAACTGCGTTGTGTATTTTCATTTTTTTTTAAAGTGGAAGTTAAGTCCGTTCCGGTTCTGCTCATGACAATCGAGGAGCCTCTTAAGTATGAATTGCCAAAATTTCGCATGTTTCTAATTTTTTTTTGAGAATAAACACCACTTCACGTTCGTTTAGAAGCGTAGATAACCTAAATATAGTATTAGATATTCACACAGCCGTTGTATTAATTTACATACGGACTTGACTTCCGCTTTAATGGCCTGACGAAAATTAAGGCTTTACTTTTCCAATTTGTCGTTGAAAATTGTACTACGCAACCAAAAACCGAGAAACAGTTTTGTGTGCCTCGGTCGGGAAAATGTTTCAGGCCGGCCCTTCTACGAGTTTACAAACTACAAATGTCTATAGTCTTGAAATATTATTTTCCTCTGCCTTAAATTTTCTTAAAATTATTTCCTAAAGTTTTCATGTTCAAAGAACCCCCCTAAATTGAATTCATAGTACAGCTACTACGATGGTAACTAGCGCAATAATATAAAAAAAAACTATATATTAAACTGGCAAAGATTAAATTAAGTTAGAACTGGCTTAATAGTTTTAATTTTTAACCTTACCGATGTTTTCTGCAACCGTAGCACAGTATATTTATTTTTGGTACAATATACTAGGGAGATTAGTAGAGGTGTAAGGACGAGAACAAGTTTGTTCCTTAAATTACAAAGTTTGTTTCAAAATGTACCTTTTCGGGCCGTTTCAGACGTCGAACGTTTCATGTGCTGAATAATTGAATGGAAATGAACTTAAACAAAGGCTTTAGCTCATTATTCCGGCGCCAGCGACGGAATTGAAAAATCGCCTTGGTTTTTTTTTTTTTTGTTGTTTTTATTTTTTTATTCTTCGTCGTCGCAAGTCTGTAATGGCGCGAAATATACTAGTATTTAAAAGGTGTATGTGATTGGATTTATCTATGTCCCAGTCTTGTCTCCCAAGAGTTGTGGTGCACAACTTTGGCTAATTTTCCGATGCGCGATTCGATTTCGCTCGCATGATACGGCAATTCCTCCAAGAGGAACAAATAAACCGTTCTTTTGATGCTGTTCGATTAAGTTTAGATTGAATTGGGGTAAGAATATACTAATACATGTTGATTCTGGTCCTATTTTAATAATATCACTGCTATTTCGCCGTTTAACAAGATGATGTGGTCCTGTATGGGCGCGTTGACACGTCGTAGTTTGTACAGGATTGAAGATTTAATACAACTATATAAGCGCGAATGCCAAAGGCAAAGTGTAAGACAAAGCGAATGTATCATGCGGTTTATTTACATTTTTGAACAATTGAACTTCTATACTTTTTAGAGTACGACGTGCTTCTGAATTTCGCTATCAGCGAACATTTAGGGTCGCATGGCATCTAAATGCGAGTATTAACTGTATTGTTTATGTTCAGAAGCTCTATATTGAAGACTGGCACGTGCGCCGGAGTTAACGCCAGAACAGGCGTCTTGTTTTTTGTCGTCGGAAGTCTGAAATGGCGCGAAACATTTTAGTATTTGAAATGTGTATGTAACCGTATTTATCTACGTCCCAGTCTTATCTTCCAACACTTGTGGTGTGCAGCTTTGGCTAATTTTCCGATGCGCGATTCGATTTCGTTCGCATGATACGGCAATTCCTCCAAGAGGAACAAATAAACCGTTGTTTTCAGACTTTTCATGCTCTTCGATTAAGTTTAGATTGAATTGGGGTAAGAATATATTTAGTACACGTAGATTCTGGTCCTATTTTAATAATATCGCTGCTATCTCGCCGTTTAACAAGATCATGTGGTCGTGTATGGGCTCGTTGACACGTCGTAGTTTGCGCATGCACAGGATTGAAGATTTAATATAACTATAATTATAAGCGCGAATTCCAAAGGCAAAGTGTAAGACAAAGCGAATGTATCATGCGGTTTATTTACATTTTTGAACAATTGAACTTCTATACTTTTTAAAGTACGATGTGCTTCTGAATTTCGCGATCGAACATTTATAGGTTCGCAAGGAATATGAACTGTATTGTTTATGTTCACTGTTCAGATGCTCTATATTAAAGACGGACACATGCGCCGGAGTTAACGCCAGAGCAGGCGTCTTGTTACTCCGGCGTCAGCGAGACAGCGACGGAGTTGAAAATTCGCCTCGGTTTTTTGTGGGTAGCCTGCGCATGCGCGGCTAACCACTATGTAGTCGAAAAAGTGTCCGGATGTTTGTGTGTGTGTGGGTGCCACATCTTCGGTAATCGTCGGATATACGAAAGATGACGAGCGGTGGTTCTTCTACTTCCGGAAAATTTCGTTGTTTTCGAAGGACGGAAGCAATCGAAGTTACGTTAATACGTTTGTCAAATTTTAAAGCGAAGGGGAGTACTTTAACTGACGAAAAAGCGGTGATCGGTGAGCGTTGAATCTACAACTACAAAGTTACACTAATAGAAAATAAATAAAACATTACCTTATTCGGCAAATGGTAGTAACAAGTTGCCCTGTTTTATAAATTAAAATGCACTATTTCACCTGTCAATTTCTTGGTTGTGGTCATGCAACTATTAAACCAAATATATTACCTTATAATTTGGCAAATAGTAGTAACAAGTTGCCCTGTTTTATAAATTATAATGCACTATTTCACTTGTTAATTTCTTGCTTGTGGACATGCAGCTATTAAGCCAAATACATTACCTTATTGCAAATGGTAGTACATAATAAGTTGCCCTGTTTTATAAATTATAATGCAATATTTCACTTGTCAATTTCTTGCTTGTGGACATGCAGGAGTTTAAAAAGAAGCATTTACTTGAACATAACTAACAAAACATATTTTTTTAAAAAACAAAACTTTTAACACAAGTGCATTTCAACTGAACAAAAATCTTTAAAATATTGTTCAGATACATAGATGAGCCCTTTTAAATTGTTATGCTGAAATGTTTGAAACAATTTTTACACATTTATATCAATGATGAATGATGGCATTCAATGTTAACTGATTGTCGGACTGATTACCACAGTGATAAGATATTGTCAACTGATAAATTTAAACTTGGAAAAAGCCACACAGATGTTTTGGACCTACGAACTGGTGCTATTATGTCCAGCTAATTGATGCTGATAGGTTATCTGTAATCAACATTGCAAACCATCTGTACCTTCTTACTGGATCAATAAAATCATACTATCATCTTCAGTTATAATGGTGAACATATTGCCAATAAACTTTGGAAAACAAGTGGTATAATCTTACTGGAACAATAACATTTAACCATTTAACCTTTATTGAATATTAACATAACTATAACATTGATTTATCAACAAAATAACCAATCTTGTATGTAACAAAGACATGCTGATAATCAAAGGACATCAAAACGATGATCATTTGAAAAAGTCTGAAACCTTCTTTTTCTCCTTCTTAACTAAGCTTTATGTTATCAGATGATGTGTGCCACCATCCTGGAACCTTACTGTCCTTTTTTGTTCTCTTCACCTATTCTGCAAAAATTTCATTTCCTATCTCTTGTAAAAATACTTATGTACGTTTTGATCTAAAATGTATTTAATACAATGAAATATTATAATATATAGCTTGTGTACTAAATTGACTTTGTTATAACTGTATTCAACCAGCTAACTATAGGGTGTTTATTCCCTTGTTTATGGCATTAGAACATAAGACTAGAAAATAATATTTTATTGCATCAGTTGATATTTACTTGCCACTATAGCAGCTTTATCGCAGTTAATAATGTTTTACAGGCTACTCACATGTACGCATTGCGTACCTATTTTCTTTTTTTATTATTATTTTTCGTCGTCGCAAGTCTGAAATGGCGCGAACAATTCTAGTATTTAAAATGTGTATGTAACCGTATTTATCTACGTCCCAGTCTTATCTCCCAAGAGTTGTAGTGTACAGCTTTGGTTAATTTTCCGATGCGGATTCGATTTCGCTGGCATGACACGGCAATTCCTCCAAGAGGAACAAATAAACCGTTGTTTACATGCTGTTCGATTAAGTTTAGATTGAATTGCGGTAAGAATATATTTAATACATGTAGATTCTGGTCCTATTTTAATAATATCGCTGCTATTTTGCCGTTTAACAAGATGATGTGGTCGTGTATGGGCGCGTTGACACGTCGTAGTTTGCACAGGATTGAAGATTTATTATAACTATATAAGCGCCTACTCCAAAAGCAAAGTGTAAGACAAAGCGAATGTATCATGCGGTTTATTTACATTTTTGAACAATTGAACTTCTATACTTTTTAAAGTACGATGTGCTTCTAAATTTCGCAATCGAACATTTATAGGTTCGCAACTCGCAAGGCATCTAAATGCGAATATGAATTGTATTGTTTATGTTCAGAAGCTCTATTAAAGACTGGCACGTGCTCCGGAGTTAACGCCAGAACAGGCGTCTTGTTAAAACAGTTCGACGTCTGAGACAGGCCTTATATTATTCTTTAAATATATATTGATGTTTATTTATTCAGTTAAATTTCTTAAAATGAAGAGATGTTTTAAGGGTGCGGGTTGTTGACGTTTTCGGAAGTCCAACAGGACAAGCTCTATACATTTGCTACATTTAAGAGCAATATAGGAATCATATTACATGTTTTCTATATTGTACTCAAGTGATGATACTAAGCGTTCGAAAAAGAAATAATATTTGGCAATTGAAAAACAACAACCAAGATTCCAACCAACATTGTAAAAAGCGCAATTTCATACACGGATGAAAGATGTAATTTATGCATATAGAAAAACAACACCTTTTCGTTATCTGTCCACCACCTGATTATTCCTATACAAAACAAACTGTATAGTTGACGATATTTGGTAAGCAATCTACATACGTACATGTACATACCTATATATACCGCTATTTTTAAAGATTTTTCAGCTATGCCTGTTGGACTAAGATTACAAGGACCGTTAAGTGCAAATGGTACTGGTCGTGTCGAAGTATTCTATCATGGCTATTGGGGGCCAATATGTGATTTTTTTTGGGAGGAATCAGAAGCCGAGGTTGTATGTCGTCAACTTGGATATAATCCAGATGATGCAAAGAATCTTGATTTCCACCTGGCTGCTCCCAGCACTGGACCGCTATGGTTAGCATACGTCGATTGTGATGGGGACGAACAAACAATTACAAGTTGTAGTCATGATTGGGGAGTTAGTCATTGCGCCTTTGATCAAGTGGCAGGTGTACATTGCTCCGGGATAGGTAAATTAAAGAATAAATCAGTAAAGCTCAGGGGCCGGTTGTATGAAAGCCGGATAGCGCTATCCACCGGATAGTGGTTTTTTTCAATCGCTTCAAAATCGTCCGTTATTTGCTACAACTTTGATTAAATCTTAGTATTCCTAAATCGAAGATCCTCTTTAATAATTGTTGCTTCCAAGCTGAAATTTTATCGCTTCTCGAGCATTTTTAGAACGGTTGAAAAAATCACTATCCGGTGGATAGCGATATCCGGCTTTGATACAACCGGCCCCAGTAGTCTAATAATGTTATATATCTAACGTATATACAGTTTCAAATATGAGAAAATATTTTTAACCTTGCTCTAGCTTCAGTGCGTAAATCATGAAGTATTGATACTTAAGAGACAGATGATAAATTCACAAAACTACACGACTAAAAAAACCAGATAGCTTCAATATTTATACGAACAGCATTTAACAATGTTGTGCTGCCCAAATTGTTCAGAAATGTTATTAACATTGAACAATAATCACAATGTTCAATTAACATCGAACAATATTCATTTTTAACTGTATTGCTCAATGTTGTTGACAAGTGTGTAACAATATTGGCAGCAAGAGGTCTCGATCATTTTAGAGTGATTTCTTTTGCGGTATTTTCACTGCTATATAAGTATAGGATTTTAAATGTTTAAATCTTTCTATAGTGATTAAGAGACTGCTCATATGGAAGCCGGGGTGGCCTGCCATGGCCGCAAGACCTCGCCATGAAAGCTATTCCTAATAAAAACTTTTGTGCGTTTATATGGACAAGCTTTTGGCGAGATGCCGCTTGAAAGAGGCGAGATCTTGCTTAGCGGGATCCAACGGGACTCCAACCGAGCTGGCCCGGTTGCCGCGAGGTGGAGCCAATTCTTACAATTTTTGATGTTTCTCAGCATCTCTATATTATTATATATTGTATATATACTATTATATATCATTTCTCTATATTGTCTTGAACACACATGGCTATAAACGAACAAATGGTGGAAATGTTCTTTAATAGATGCTGATCTTTATGAACTTTATACCTAAAGCTAACTTGGACTTCAAACGCAAAGATAATTAAACACGTTGTAAATAAAGCCCGGCTCCTAAATAAAAAGCCCCTACAAAGGCTATATCTCATTTATCAATGCTAATGTAATTTTTATTAAAGAACATCTCTCCACAGCACTTTATGTGAACCATTTTCTCTATTTTTTTAAAGATCTTTCAGCTGTACCTGTGAGTCTTAGGTTGCAAGGGCCATCAAGTGCAATTGGGATTGGTCGTGTTGAAGTACTATATCGTGGATATTGGGGAACAATCTGTGATGATAGATGGGATATAGAGGAGGCTAGGGTTGTGTGTCGTCAACTAGGATATCCGGCTGCTATTAGGGCTCTTCGAAAAAACGAGGTTCCATCCGGTTCTGGCAAGATATGGTTAGACTACGTCCGTTGTACAGGGAAAGAAAAAAGTATAGTGGATTGTTCTCTTAGTAGCTGGGGTGGGGATGATCACTGCTCGCATAAGGATGATGTCGGAGTTGAATGTAAGGCAAAAGGTGAGAAATTATGCATTTACAGACGTAAAGACGTAGACATGATTTATATTCTTCTCCAGTTTGTACAAAAAGTGTATACGACTTCATAGTTCACAGTATACTAGAAGTAGAAGCATGCAGCAACCCCATATCATTTTAAACGAAACAAACAATTTCCTGAGCTAGCCAGACCTAATCTCAAATTATAAAATGACTCCCACGAGTCTATAGCTGATATTTTTCCCCGAGCCGGCGCGAAGCGCCGTGCGAGGGTACTAATTCCGCTGGGAGATTTATTACACCCGGGTATTGTGACAGAACATAGCGGAATCCAAAGTTGCTCAAATTCTATGTCGTAACACCGCGGAAAAATGTCTGCGCACGCGCCGAAATATCAAAATATTATGGTAAATCTAAATATCGACTTTTGGAACAAAACATGCCCATTATTTGATAAAATATAAGTTAAGAAAAGGCAAAAATATACAAGACGGCCAGACAGAACATAAATTAAAAGCCTTCTAGCATTTAGAGTATCGAACGAACTGGAATTCACGGTAAATTTTCCTTTTTTTACGGGGTGGCTTTAGAATATTTTTCGAAAACAAAAGTTTAAACCTAAAAGTTAATCTATTTAAATTGTAAAATACATCTTAATTTTCAATCATTGAGAACACGCAAACGTCTCGTATTTGGCGACATATTTTTTTTTTTAATAAAACGTGTCTCAATTAAAAGTTCGGAAACTGTCGTTGCTTATTTGATAAACAAAATGTTTGAGACGAAAAATTTGTTAACAGTCACTTTTTACAGGTGTTTTTGTAGAATGCCACTTCTAGGACTCTCCGGACGTTTTTTCTCTTAGTTTCTATAATGCAATGTTTATTTATGCCCTCGAAATATGGATTTGAAGACACGAATGAAATCACTCCTTTTTGCCGCCATTTTTAGCCTTCGGAAACGTTCGGAACCGCTTTTTAAGTATTTTAATCTCACTTACAGGCAGAGTTGACGCATGCGCAGACGTTTTTCCGCGGTGTTCTATGTCGTGGACCGTGGACCGTGGACGTTCAATGGTCATGGTACTTGTGCGCATGCGTGAAATGCGAACGAGTGTAGACTGGTAATCAACGAACGTTCTGATTGGCTAAGACAGAAAGTTTGTAATTCAATGAGAACGTCAGCAATTTAACTGTCATTTCGTAAACATTTTTGTAAAAGCGTTTCATAAACTTTGTGCAAAGAAAGTAAAACGAGAAGAAACAAGATATATGAAGCATGACAGATAGCAAAGATGAACGTGGATACAGTCAAAACAAAGCCGTGTAAGAGGAATAATTCATAATCTTCAAGCTTATAAATGTTTTCAAAGACAAAGGGTACGTGTTTACTTTGTTTATCTGGTACTTGTTTCGCGGTAAGAATGAGCCGTATTTGTATACTTTTCAGCTTTGTATGCCGTTCATTTGTTAAATTTTCAGCTTTTTCTGCAAACGCATAAACCTGTGAAGGGCTATTACACCTTTGCTTTAACTTCGAAAAGTGTTTTTGAAAGTGTAATTTGAATTTTGGTATCAAAAATACACACTATATTTATAAAGTATACTGAAACTTTTAGCCGCCGGCGTTGACTGCAATTACAGAATAAAATAACATTTGAAGTTTTTTCTTTGTCTGTGAAGATTTTGTACTGTTTTAATCGTTTGAAACTTCGATTTTAAACCGTTACTTAATTGCTGGCATGGTATAATGCAGCAAAATTGAACGGGCAATGTTTACACTAGCTTTGTGATTTTTTTTGTATTGAATGATGGAAACTTTAAGACCCGATTTGAGTTTTGTGTCATTTCATAATATAAGTTTAGGTAAGGTTAACTCAGGAAATTGTGTACTTGGTTTGAAATAGCGAGGGGTTGCTGCATGCATGTATTTCTAGTAATATTCGGAAACAAATATTCATAAAGCTAAAAGAAAAATGAAGTAAACATCACCCGTTGTCCCGCTGCATTTAACATGTAGGCAGACTCTCAGAGCTTATGTAACGGTTAAAAATTAAAGTTCAAAACATTAAAATAGTACAAATTTCTCATTCCTCAAGGACTATAAAACACCGAATGTTTTTTTCGAATATTTATGCAGTGCCAGTGATCAAAATTCAAAATTGCACTTTCAAAAACTGTTTTTGAATTAAAGCGTTTAGCGTTGGTGTAATAGTGTTTAATACCCGGTTATGTCTTAGCAAAACGAAATACCAAGCTCATACACAAATAAACTGCATCCTGACAGCAAATACGGAATAAACAAAATAGACACCTACCTGTTTTTAAACACTGCAAAGCTTATAAATGATGTATCGTTCCTCTTTCACTGCTAGTTTTGAACTGTAGCTAACTGTCTTTTTATGATCAATATTTTTTTGTCTTTTTTCAGTGTCATATTTTATTTCGCGATGTTTACTGAAAACATTTTTACGAAATAATTGACAAAATGACAGTTAAATTGCTGACGTTCTCATTGAAGTACAAACTTTTTATCTTAGTCAAACTAAAAATTACTGATTACACGTTCAGCCTTTACACGTAATTTAGCGCATGCGCATAACTGACGAACCAGCAAACCTCGACCCCATGACATATAATTTGCACAACTTTGGATTCCGCTATACTCGTTCAAAATACCCGGGTGTAATGAATCTTCCCGTGGGATTAGTATACCCTCGTACGGCACTCCGCGCCGGCTCTGGAATTATGCAAAGCATTTTGCATGATTTGGACTGGCGAAAAAATAATAGTAAGAGGAATTGCGAGGAAAGGTTTTCTGGAAAAAACTTTTACCCTAAAATGCCTAACAAAAATTATAGAGTCTTATTTTTCTATGGTTGGTGCATGATGTTATACCAAAAAGCTATAGCATTAGTTTTAGACTGAATGTTTTCATTTTTTATTTCATCTTCATTAATTTTACATTGATTAATATTCTCGCACGGCACTCCGCGCCGTTTTAGGGGATTATGCAAAATGGAAATTTGCACTCGCGAAAAAATAATAGCAAGAGGAATTACGAGGAAAGGTTTTACCTCTAAAATACCTCCCAAAAAATTATGGAAGCTAATTTTTCAGCAACCCTATTTTTGTTGATGTTGCACCAAACTGCTATAGCATTAGTTTTAGACGAATGTTTTAATTTTTTTAAATTCATGTTCATTTACAGAAACTACCACAGCAAATCCAACCGATTCAGTTAATTCTAAAACAGGTAAATTGCAGTAGAAACGCCACGTTCATGATAAGCTAAATTTTTATTATTGTAGATTCTTGGTAGTTCCATTATTTATCAATAAATAATTTGCTAGACATAGGTATGCTTAATATAATTTCTGTTTTGTCTATTGCCCTGCGATCAATTTGAATGGCTCGCTTGTCAATAACTAAGAGGTAATAGGTACTGCAGGGACTGCATACATATATATTAGTTCAAAAGAAATCTAAAATTTTCCCTGTCGCTCGTTTGACAACCAAAGAGTGTAACAAAGTATGCAGGATCAGTAAGTTCATGAATAAATAAGCAGTGCATACATTATTGTTTCATTTCTTCATTTTAAACCAAGGTTATATATAAATAATATTCAGCGAGTTGGATATCACAGCTTACCAGCCTTTAGGCTTTACTCCATCGAAATGTCGCGGATGCGCATAACTAAATAACCATCCAACGTCAACCGCCCATGGCATTGCATTTGCGCTATGTTCGTTCAAAATACCCGGGTGTAATAAATCTCCCAGCGGGATTAATGTTCTCGCACGGCACTCCGCGCCGTCTCGGAGATTATGCACCATGCAAATTTGCACTCGCGAAAAAATTATAGCAAGAGGAATTGCGAGGAAAGGTTTTACCTCTAAAATACCTCCCAAAAAAATATGGAAGCTAATTTTTCAGCAACCCTATGTTTACCTCCGCCAGGAGGTTATGTAATCATCTGGGTTTGTATGTGTGTATGCGTGTGTGTTTGTCTGTGAGCACGATAACTCAAAAAATACCGAACATATTCGTACAAAATTGTAGGAATGCATTTCCTGTCGGCAAAGGAAGAAGTGCTTAAAATTTGGTTGAATTTAGTTAAAAATTGAACGAGAAATGAACAAAAGTTTGTCTTGCTTTTCCCGGTCAATTAAGAAAAACTCACTGAATGCGTAATGAGGCGCATAATTATTAGGACGTGTATTATGGCTCAGTAACACGGGCGGAGGTATGCAGTCTCCGAGTGCCCTCTAGTTGGTGATGTTATACCAAACTGCTGTAGCATTAGTTTTAGACGAATGTTTTAATTTTTTTTAATTTCATGTTTTATCAATACATATTGGCTAAATTTCGGTATGCTTAATATAATTTCTGTCTTGTCTATTGAATGGCTTACTTGTCAATGAGGCATAGGTACAGCATACATATTAGTTCAAAAGAAAATCTAAAATTTTCCCTGTCGCTCGTTTGATAACCAAAGAGTGTAAAAAAGTATGCAGCGTCAGCAAGTTCGTGAAATATTAGCCATGCATATATTATTGTTCTCACCGGCCTTTGATTTCTTCATGTTAAACCGTGGTTATGTTAATAATATTCATTTCGGAAATTTACGCCATACCTTAACATTCATACGCCGAAGGCGAGGTGGATATCGCATAATAAAAACTGAGACGAATGATGTTCTAAGGTAGTGTTTACAACGTTTTATGCAAGACTTATTAAACAACGCCGTTGTATAACGTAATAATTTTAGCCAATTTTTCCGCATTTTTCGCAGTTTAAGGGACCGCATTCTCCTTTATATTACTGATTTCCTCATCTGTGACTTCAAAATAAACAACTATTTTAAGCACTATTTTAAAAAACCGCGCTTAGGATGGTTTCCTACTTGATGGCATATTTCGATGTAACGAAATTTTCTCCTGATTTTCTTTACAAATTGAACCGGTCAAGGGAATGCACTACAGTCGTGTTTTGGTAATTGTAAAGAAAATCAGGCGAGAAATTTCGTTTGATCGAAAAATTCTGCCTAGTGGAAACCGCTTCAGTTGCATAGCAATTAAAGATGAAGCAATTGGAGCTGTGTATGAATTGAAGAGTACTACAATACGTTCCTTCTTATATTTGAATTTGAAAAGCTTCGTCAATTTTCATTTTCAGATAAATCGAATTCAGGCAAGGAGTCGGACAGCGCACCTCAATGGCCTATATTTATGACAATACCAGCAGTCGTCATCGTCGGGATTATCATTGCCTGTGTCGTGATATTTTATCGTCGTCAAAGGTTAAAAAGAAGGAATATTGAACCAGATTCCAAACCTCAAACTACAATTAAAAATCCAGTTTACGGTCAGTCGGATCATGTCGGTCTCACACAAAGTGCAGCTGCAGACAACGTGGGTTACGTCTCTAAAGATTTGGTTGAAAATACTTCGATGTGATTGGTTAAAAGTGTGATTGGTTATATATACAGGGTGTCTCAAAAAAAACGAAAACTATTGAAATCACTCATTGTAAAAATTTGTATGCCGTGTTCACGAATTTCAGCCCTTGGGGATTTAACGCAACTGATAAAATGCTAAATGCTTTGTGTTGCTAGAAAAAGGGGACATGTCGAAGGTCATGGTTCTTGAGGTTCACATTTAAATATTGTTATCCATATTTGTAAATTGTAAATATTGTTAATAAATATCATTTTTGCGTTCAAGCAAATTTTACTGCATCATATGCATGCATAAACATGGGTATGGCAAACATTTATACACCTGTGGGTCCCAACAGTGTGCTTAGGCATTCAAACTCTAACAATTGCATTGTTATGGGTGATTTCAATAGTTTTCGTTTTTCTTGAGACACCCGGTTTACAGGGTGAGTAAAAAAAAACTGACACCTTTGAAATTCAAATTAGCCGCGAACTTATGGCTGGAATTTGACAATTCCCATTGTGTACAATCAACAAGACGTGGTTACTTAATGCGAAAGTGTTTAAACCAATTGAACTAATTCCACGTTATCACGGAGCTTAGAATGCATTTTAACTCCCAAAGGGAACAAACTTTATGTTCAAGGTTAACTTACTTGATATGCTTCGTATACCCATGAGATAACTTCTGTCACATTACAGCCGATTACAGACACATTGCAGCTAATTTGAATTTCAAAGGTGTCAGTTTTTTTTACTCACCCTGTATAGTACGTTTGCAATTATATTATATACTAAACTCTATTATTATAAAGGTAATGGGAATCAGGCAATGTAGCTATGTATTTTTATGCATGCAGAGTACTATATTTGGGTAATAATATAATAGATGACTCAGAAACACAGGATTTGATTATCAGTTTCTGCGTAAATTTTTTGTGTAACTGATTTGCAAGATATTCTCGCCGTAGTAAACGTTGTAGTTTATTTTAATAATAAAAAAATTGCCAACCTTATCATAATAATAGACTGCGAGCGCCATGAGAACGAAAAGATTTCCGGGCTGCCTATGGGCAAACCGTTGTTCCATGTTTTCTTAATTTCTTTAACTTGTCTATCATTTGCTACTTCACGTGTAAAATTGTCCGACATTTTGAAAATCCCGCGCGACCGAGCGGCATTGTAAACTTTTCCATGCAGGATTGTCTGATCCTGCACGCCTACTAAGCAATCAAATTGCGTGTTTCATTGCTGTTATTATACAATAGACAGTTCCGAACTCTGTTGAAATCACTGCAGTTGGAATTTGAGCGTATAATTTATAACAACAAAAACTCGTTCTTCTGTGATCATTTGAACCATTTTCTCCCGAACTGGTCATAGATTAATTTGTAATTTCATGCAGAAACCTTCACAAATTATTTCTTTACTAATCAGGAAATTCCAGTGCAGTGAAAGATAGTGTCTTAGCATCACAATTGTTTTCTTTCAGTTTCTAATATCAAATTGTCAATAGTCAACAATTATTAAGTTGTTTATTCACTTTCAAAATTGATGATTTTCTAAAATTTTCTAAAATGTGTTAACATGCTGAAAATGCCTTAAAACGTTCACCAAGACGATTTTTTTCGTTTTTTTAAAGCGAATTCGATTTCTTTTTGAAGATTGAAAAATTCTTAAATTTCAACCAAAAAAAATTCTAAAATGTGTTAGCTACATGCTAAAAATGGCCTCAAATATTTACTAAGGCTAATCTGTTTCATATAATAATATTCTTGTAGGTTTGCATGGTGACATCAATAAGTAAATTAGCTTTCAGGTACTTCACGTAAGTATTTATTACTGCAAAGCTTTCGGTCCGTTAACCCGGGCCTCCATCAGTGCAATGAAGAAGTTCCGGCTTAACGGACTGAAAGCTTTGCAGTAATAAATATTTACGTGGTGTACCGAAAAGCTAATTTATTTCGTTTTTGGGACTATTTGTTTTGGAGCAATTAAAAATTCCAAAATATAATTTAATTGAAACGAAAATGTTGTGACGAGCAGATGGTACCGTGTAAACGCAGCTTAGGAGAATAGGGTTATTTAATATCTGTTGCGTTATGTTGAAGATTTGGAGTACAATTTCAGGTGTGAAATGAGTGGCAAATGTTGAAACATTCTAATGAATCTAAATTACCATTTTCCTAAAATTTTAATTTTTGACCAGTGAAATCAGACATGACGATAAAAATACAATTATGATTAATGATAAAAACACAAAAAAATCTCACCGCAACCATTAGCACTAGCTTCACCTGAACCGCATATAACTAACTTATGGCGAGTTTATGATACTCCTTTGATACTCCTTTGCTCAATGGACTTCATACCTATATTTTAGCGTCAGCAGAAATATTGATATTATTAGGTTAAAGCTACGAATAAGATTCAATTTTTTGCGTTTTATACAAGAAAATTAATCATCATCATCAAAGTAAACTTATACAATTTTATGTAAAATCCTTCGAAAAAAGGTTTAATAAAATAAAATAGTGTCGTAATTCGCCACAAGTTCTGCTGGTCTAGTGGTGAGGCAATGCCCTCCCGCGTTTCAGTCTGGGGGTTCGAATCCCAACATAACTGTTTTACATTATGAACTTCGTGAAAAGGATAAAGTAAATTAAATAATCATGGCCGTGAAGAATAAAGTAAATCGATACGATATGATGTGAATAAAGAACATTCTTGATACTTGGTTTAATACAATAGTGCATGTACATAGTGCAGAATAGCCACGTGCACACATCAGAGACGTAGATAGTTAAAGATAGTACCACGCACATGTATGCAAATCTCTTATTAGCATAAAAGGATTAGAGAGTCAGCTCTTGGTGTTAAAGGCTACATATATTTATTTTTACCTAAATACCTTTTCAAAATTCAAAGTCATCATGAAAATATATTCATCGCAGCATTCGAATCACCGACCTAAAAGTTACGAGACAATTGTCTTCACCACTAAACTAAGACTGATAGGACAAGCAATTGACTATATTAAAACAGCATGGTTATTCATATCAGGTACCTCCAAGATGAATTACATAAGCAAACTTAACAAAGTAAATTGTCATCGCAATCCCAAAAAGTCTGGAAATATTGGGCGCAATTATTAAAAAACAAACAAACCTAATTTACTTGACCATTTGATTGATGTTATTAGAATAGAGATTGATAAAAATGCGATATATTTTTTGTAATACTTCGTTGTACCATGCCCCTGCTGAAAATCGCTCCGGCGAGTAGGCTTACCTGATTAAATATTCTTCATCATGTAAAGTTTAATCTTCTGTAATACTTTTGATAATTCTGCATAATCCACAGGAATGTAACCTGTCGTCGAATCACCTCCTTCGCCCTTAATTTAGTCTATGACTTCTGTGCTTAATCCCGATTTAAAGCTTATTTGTATTGTAACTTCTTCCAAATCTTTTTACTTACAGTTGATTTGAAAACTTTGGCCGCTGTGAAAGTTGGCTATGTTTGGAAGCTCTCAAGTGGGCGGGGAAGTCGTCACTTCCGTTTTGTAATTCGCAACGAAGTTCCAAAGTTCAAATGGAACTTTGCGGGCAATTTGATTAAATCGCTTTATAAAATGGCCACCATAGAATACCATGGCAAAGCAATTACAAAAATATTTCTTTGCTGCATTGAAATAGCTTTGAAATTCCGAAGTGCGATTTGAACTTCGGAACTGCGTTGCGAATTACAAAACGGAATTTTCAACTCTCCCTCCCACTTGACTGCTTCTTAACATAGTTCGCTACTGGAGCATCAAAAGTGTCATGAAATGTAACACATTCATGAAATTTACTTTTGTGTAACTGTTACGAGTGCCTCACTTCGCATTAGCACCAGTAGAATAAATTTGTGTTTTCCTCCGCTTCATCTGGTGTCTCTAGCGGGGGTGGTTCCGGTGTCACCAACGCAAGATAGCTCGTAAGTAGTGCTCTCTTGTCCTCCGCTTCCGCTAGATTTTGTCTCAATTTTCTGACGAACTCCCTTCGACAACTGGATTCGTCTTAGTCCCTCGGTATTGGCTTCTACGTGTTGGGCAAATTTCGTTAGTGCTTCCATTGAAGTCCACAAACTTCCGACTCTAGTTGCAACTGTAATGCTTCAATTTCCTCATCAACGGCCGCCATCGTGAAGTGCAAAAGACTAACCCCACATACACACTGAAACAGTTCCTTAACGCGTAAGCCGATCCATATTGTTCACTTCGACAAGTAATGCTCCTTCATTAAGTCATAAAAAAACGTATTTTTTAGATTATGAACGTCATAATATAACTTGTACTCAAGCGCACGCCTCGACCGAATATGTCCACGTCTTTGCCCCCTATTTTCAACGTTAAAATGCCTTTTAGAGCAGTCCTGGCAGGATCGCCAAAATGTTACCAGTGCCCCCCTTCCCTTTTACTTAAATTCATTGTCATGCTGTAAGTTTGAAAGACAAGTGGATCGGGTTACCGCACTGTACTCATTCTGACTCATTCGAGAGCAGATCTCACATTGATTTCTACGGCATTTATAAATTTAGTCTCGATCCGTATACAGTATAGTGCCAAACTAAGGCCTGATTCACACTAGCTCCTAACAATCGGCGATCAACTGTATTATTATTCGAATAGACAAAAAAATTTGCGCACTGGTGACCTTAGACAAGTGTGAACAAGGCTGAAGTTTAAGTTAATGTTGGGCATTGCCATTGGAACCAATTTCAGAAAAGAAATTTAACATCATATTTTGTAATTAACATTTTCTCATTTGCTTATTTTCAGGATTGTCTGATTGTCTTATGCATGCGGTTGCTACGGTACTTTTTATACATTCGTTGCTTCCAGGAAGTTTTTCGTCTCATATTACTTTTAACCTTTGCTATATATAACTTTAATGCAATTCAGCGTTATCCCATAACCAAAACGTAGTCGAGATCTACTGTACGCACCTGCCGTATCGTACATATTTTTCTTTCCTATCGTTGGTATTATTTAAAACGTTTATGATAGAGGCTTCTGATTAACGACATAGCAAGACGGTCCAGACGAAGAGGTCATATATTGAGAACAGATCAAGGAATCGTGAACCGGCATTTTAGAACACACGGTATTTACCTTTGTACTCAGTGGCGTAATTAGAACGATAATTGGGGGGGGGGGTGAATATTCATA